TGATGTGCTTCTGGGCTTTCATCTTTTCTTGAGCACAGCACAGAATATGTTGTCCTAATGGGACCCAGGCATAATGGGAAATAGCTTGCGTGTGAGCGCTGATTGCCAAGTCCTGAGATAATGCGACATTTTGTCGTTCGCGGTTGCTCACAACAAGAGTGTCACATTTCTAGAAATGGAAGTGAGCCTTAGCTTTCTCTTGGTGACCGTCATAGCTGTTTACCTTTAGCATCTGAAAAGGTGTAGGTTGGTGACCAGGAGCTGAGCTAAGACTCCAGCTGACTAATTGAGGCAGTTCTGCATACAGCTCAGCACTGGGGAAACGTGTCAGGAGGTAGCTTATGTCTTAACATTGGCAAATAGGAACCGCTTTTATTCAGTTGCCCTGCATTATCAGCCTTGACTTCCCCAGAGTGGATGAGATACAAACGCATAGGCCAGGCTCGTGCAATGGCAATGCCTGCAGCACCAGCACCAGGGAGCCTGGGGCAGGAAGACTGTGTGCTTGAAGGCAGCCTGAGCAATAAACATAACGACTTTCCAACCAGCCTGGCCTACATAGTGAAGTCTTGTTTCCGAAAGACACAGAAACAAGTGGGATTAATGGGTTTCTTAAAATACTTCTCTTGCTATTCAAATGCATATAGATTTTTATTTTGGGAATGCAGTATTTTGGAGGATATGGATGATATATTACAATTTGGGAATACATTTTTTCCTTTGGAATGCTTTTACACCTTTGCTGTGGAATAGGGTACATACTGCATAACTATAAATGTTGGTAAACTCTGACATTTTGTGCCCCCAGAGTTTCCTTTTGCTTCTCTGTAATTCCTTCTCTCTTCCTCAACCCTCCTCATTCCTAGTCAGTTGTCCGTAGTCTGTCATAATTAATTAATTTGTTTTGAGGCGTTCTCATAACTTTCACTATTAATTATTCTTGGACTCAGTCATAGTATGTGTATAGTAGTTGGTTTCTTCTTATTGCTCAGTAACATTGGATCACATGAGTATATCACCATGCGTATATGCACTCATTGTTCATGCCTGTGTTATCTATCTACTGCCATATTACAGTTAACCCCAAACTTAGAGGCTTACGATACAAACCTCTAGTACCTCCTCGTTTTCTGAGCTAGGAGTTTGGGAGAGCGTCACTTGGTGGCTCTGGCTCAATGTCTTTGATGAGTTGCTGCCTCAGTATTGGAGCTGGGACCTTCGTCATTTGAAGTCCTCACATGGGCTGGCGGGAGACATTGCACTCCTTAGCTGGAGGCCCAGGTTCTTCACCAAGGACCGTCTTTGCAGGGCTGCATGAGTGTTCTTATGGCATGGAGTCTGTCACTCTCCAAACGTGACCCAAGAGCAGGGGAGGGAACGCGAGCGTCTCTCATGGCCTAGTCCCAGAAGTCATATTGTGTTTCTGTCGTTACTGTTTGGAAGAAGCAAGTGACGGCTCCCACTCGAGGAGAGAAGAATTAGGGTCTGCTTTTTGATCACCATAGAATTTGTGGATGTTCCAGGTGAAATGGTGTGCCCCTTTAGTCATAGCTACTTGGGTGACCCAGAGGGGCAGAGTGTCACAGTCCAATTGGAAGCCATCCTGGAAAGGAAAAAAAATGTGCCCCATGTGGTGGCACACACCTCCATTCCCAGCACTTGGGAGGCAGAGACTGGCAGTTTCTGAGTTGGAGGCCAGCCTGGAATATATGGTGAGTTCCAGGACAGCCTGAGCTACATAGTGAGACCCTAAAAATAAATGAATAAACAAACAAGCAAATAAATATATAAAAAAAATTGTGGACTTATTTTAAGTGTACCACAGTGGGCCATTGTATCACTTTTCAGTTTTGACCATTACAGATACAACTGCTTGTTCCATATCTATCTACCTAAATACATACATGTGTATAGATCTGTAAATACACATTTATTGTGTGAATGTAAATGTCTAGGGGTAGTTGGATGAATAGAAGGAAAAGGAGAAGGAGCATGACTGCTCCTAGGTGTGGCAAGAGGGAGGGGCATCTGGGAGAGTCCAGAGAGGACCTGACCCTGAGCTTGTGAGGGGATGGGGGAGAGGACAGCTAGGTGCAGGCAGCCAGGAGGCTCAAAAGCGTAGATGAAAAGGGCCAGGTCACCAAAGTGGTTGATTATATAGGGAAGGGCAGCTGGGGGAAGGGTAGTCTAGCTCCTGGACTGGGGAAGCATAGGACAAGAGGCGGGATGCCAGCCAGGAATGCCCTGTAACAGGTCCCGGCTGAGGGATGCAGGGAGAACCTGACTGCCAGCATCTGCTCTGGTGATAATAGGCATCTCAGCCATTTGTCCCAGGTTTGAAACTTAACAGTAGTGTGGCTCGTTTCGAGGGTGGCATTATGTGAAATTTTACCACTTGCATTGTGAATTGTGTACTAAGAGAAAAAAGTACAGAAAAATTAATTTCTTATATGAATGTTCATTTTAAATCTTAAAATTTCCTTTACACATTACATTCTTTAAAGTTTTAGTATTAAAAGAAAAAGTATTAAAGAAAGCAAAACCTTCCAAATGTGGAGACAGTTTTCCCTGGTCGGTGGCACCTGTCTCCCTGAGCAGCGCGTGAGCTGCAGTTGGGCCGCACAAGTGTGTTTATTCCTAGAGTTGCTGGGGGTCACGGCTTGACCTTTTGGCTAAGATCAGGTATCAATGTGATGGTTTTAGGTTGCTTTCCCTGAATTTCCTTTATGCTGAAATGTCGTCTTTTGCACTTTAAAGAAACCTCACTGAGTGGTAAGAGTGTGCGCTGTGTCCGTGTGCTTGTCACATGCTCTGTGGTTTTTAAACTTACACGTCTGGAAATTGGTCTCTTGTGGCACGTGGCCCTGGAGGCTTTGGCAGTACGTGTGTGTGTCTTGACACTGCAATCAGGACAACTCAGCAACTCTCACCCCCCCCTTCCCTTGCACCCTCATGTTGCCCTTCCTCAGGTCCTGTTAACACACATTCTCCTCCCTTCTCTACTGGGGATAGCTGATTGTTTTCTACTCCTATAGCCTTGCTGTCCCCTAAATGCCGTATAAATCACAGCTTGTGAGGTGTTGTGACTAGGATTTATTTACCCAGCCAAGTGCACCGAGACTCATCTGTTTGTGTGCCTTACAAGTCGTTCCCTTGTATCCCTGTCTTAATATCTTTCCATTTCATGGTGAAGGGCATGTAAGTTGTCTCTGTTTTCGGCAGTTGTGGATACAACTGTGGTGGAAGTTTACCTCCAGCTGTTTCTGTGAGCCTACGTTTTTCTCTTGGATTTAAGGAGTGGGATTGCGAGGCAGCATCCAAGCCCAGCTTGGCCTTACGTAATATGGGGTTTTAAATCACAAGTTTTATTTCTTAAGTCTGTTAGCTGTTGATTCCTCTTTTGTGAGCTTTGGTAGGTTTTGTGTTTCAGAAAAAAAAGTGCCCCTTTTCTATTGAGTTTCTCGGCTTATAATTGGGTCCCAACCACACACATTTTCCTTTTAATGTCTACCTGTGCTGAGGTCATACCCTGCCTCCTAAATATCCAAAACTTGGCCTTTCATTTCCTTCTCTTTGCTTTGGCTAAGAGATGTGTTTATATAAGTATTCACCCTTCAGACCAGAGTAGAAATTTATTGAGCCTACTGCGAGAGCATAGTGTACATGACATCACAATGGAAGCTGCCTCTGTGGAAGAGACAGTGGGCCCTTGAAAGCCGTCTTCAGAGTGGCCAGCGTACAGTGTCCTTCATGCCGTCCCTTTCCCTTACAGGAGGGCAGCCCTGGCTGGCTGGCGTTTGATTCCCAGCAGAGCCTGGGTTTGCAGGCCAGCAGCTACTAGTCAGGTAATTTTAATTGACTGTATCCGGTCCCACTGGTAGCCACCTGCAGTGATGCATGCTTTCTCTTTAGGGACGTATTCTTGAGCAGACTTGTGAAAATGCCCCAGTGGGGGTCCATTCCTCTCTGTTTTCCTGTCATGGCCTTCCGTTTACTAGTTTTATAATCTCAACCATGAATTGCGTTTTCTTTATCATTTTCTATTTAACTCCATTTTGATTTCTGTTATTTCTTTTGCTTACGTTGGGCTTACTAGGATACAGGTGAAAAAGTAATTTTCGTGAAAGCAAACTGGGCAGACGTGGTACATTGTAGTGTAGAATGACTCATGAGATTTTTTGCTTTTGCTGTTTTGTCTGTTGGGTTTTTTGTTTTGTTTTGTTTTTCCACCTATTCATCTCACTCTGTTTCAAGCTCCAAATTTGAAGTTGTTCTGAAAATTACGAAAGTATTTGGAATTTCTGTAGTGAGATCCATCAGTGTTGGTTACCGGCATCCTAATGCCTGGACAAGAGACTGCTCTGAGGGCTGAGATTTTGTCTTTCTATCACAGCTGCCCTTTGACCCACAAGATTGTGTAATGCTCACTGGGATTCAGCTCATCCGTTGTCTGTGTTCCCCAGTGGAAACACTTGCTGGAGTGTCACACAGGGCCGAGCCTGTTTCCAGCTGGGTGGAGAAAGGGAAGTTTGTGTTGCTGTTGGGTTGTCTTCCGAATTTGAAGTAGAATTAAGGAATTGTTTTTTTCACTAAATTTCTTTTCTGTAGTGAAGAGAAGCAAGTTATTTTTGAGACTGGGAGAATTTGGGTTAAAATTGGCTTCAATTTCTTTCATCTTTGTCTTTCATAGTCGTCCATAAGATATAAAATGTGGTACTGGAGAGATGGCTCAGTGGTTAAGAGCACTGACTGACTGCTCTTCCAGAGGTTCTGAGTTCAATTCCCAGCACCCACATGGATGCTCACAACCACTCAGTTGTGAGATCTGGTGCCATCTTCTGGCCTTCAGGCATGCATACAGGCAGAACACTGTACGCATAATATAAATAAGTAAATCTTTACAAAGAAAAAGAAACAAGGTGTTATTAGAATTGGTGGGTGCTGCGGTATTTATGTTTCTCTTTCCTTTCTAACATTTAATGCTATATTTTATCTTCTAGATCCTGTTTGATCAAACTCAGAGATCAATTAAGGCACAGCTTCAGAACTTCGTTAAAGAGTAAGTCAGCTGCGGACCAGAGGGCAGAAAACAATCAACCAGTGGTTGCTGGGGTCGGGGAATGTGGTGGCCTAGGGCTATGACTAAAGATACCAAAAGAGAAAGAAATTATAGGTCTCAGATTTCTGAAAATATTTGCTTGTTTGCTTTGTGAAATGTGATTAATTTCTTTTGAGTTTGTGAGGGAATCAGATTCACTTTGAACATATGTTTAAGTAACATTTCGTTCTGGTTAGAATCCAGAAAGTTTTCTAAATGTATGTAAAAAATGTCATTTAAAGCCCCCCCCCCCCCCCCCCCCCCGTGGTTGAAATACTTACTGTATTCACAGCTAGGTTGTCTTGTCTCGATGTGGTATTTTCTTTGAAGAGAAGATAAAAGATGAGAAAGAGCCACAGAAGTGACATGTTGTTATATGTGACCCTTTGGAAGAGATTCACCATGTTTACATATGAAATAAAATCAAAGTAAAAGTAAAAAAAAAAAGTCCAGGTTTGACAAGTTAAGAAAAACTTTTTTCCACATTCATAATTTAGTTTTTCTCCTATGGTTTCCAGCAGAGAGTTTATAAATGCCAGTTAATTCTAGTACAGTGTTAAAAATAAGTAAGGAGCTGGGCGGTGGTGGCACACACTTTTAATCCCAGCACTTGGGAGGTAAAGGCAGGCAGATCTCTGAGTTCGAGGCCAGTCTGGTTTACAGAGTGAGTTCCAGGACAACCAGAGCTACAGAGAAACCCTGTATTAAAAAAAAAAAAAAAAAAAGACGAGGAACATTATAATATAGGAATAGTGTCAAATATTATCTACGGCTGTTTTGAGTAGTTTTGGGCTTGGGTTTTTCACACAGTGTTTAGGGCTTAGCCCAGTAGATTAGAATTAGCCTACAAAGATGTCTCATAGCTCTGGACTCTTTTCTTTTCTCTTTCTTCTCTCTCTCTCTCTCTCTCTCTTTCTTTTAAGATTTATTTGTCTAATGTACATTGGTGTTTTGCTTGTATGTCTGGGTGAGGATGTTGTATCCCCTGGAACTGGAGTTACGGACAGGTGTGAGTCACCATGCGGGTGCTGGGAATTGAACCCGGGTCCTCTGGAAGAGCAGCCAGTGCTCTAAACAACTGAGCTATCTCCCCAGCCCCTCACAGCTTTTTTTTCCAAATTACTTCAGAATGCTTTAATACTCAGAAAGTCTTAGTTATACACAGAAACTTGTGGAATGTTTTAAACCCATTACATAGTCTTTCTTAGACGTATTCTATGATAATTAAAAACCATTCGTCTTCAGCTTAGTTTGTCAGCGGTGCTCTAGCAGTGGCCGCAGAGAGGTCACTAAGGGTCAGGGGCTTCACCTTTCCAGACTTTTAAATTTTATTCTTTATGTTTTTTTTTTAACCAAATAATTTCCTCTTAACAAGAAATGGTTTCTTCTGCTTCCATTTTTTTTGGTATTGAAACAGAACCTTGCTCTGTAGCCCAGGCTGGCCTGGCCACCAACAGCCTCTTTCCATAGCCCCCAAAATTGTGGTTGCAGGTGTGTTGTGTGATGTTTTACTCTTTTGGTGTTTTGGGGAGCCCAGCTTCTAAATAAATCACACACAGAGGCTTATTCTTAGTTGTAGAATGTCCAGCCTTGGCTTGGCTTGTTTCTTGCCACCTTTTCTTAAATTAACCCGTCTACCTTTTGCTTCTGGGCTTTTACCTTTCTCTATTTCTGTTATCTTACTTTTACTCCTGCTCCGTGGCTGGCTCCGTGGCTGGCTCCGTGGCTGGCTCCGTGGCTGGCTCCGTGGCTGGCTCCGTGGCTGGCTCCATGGCTGGCTCCATGGCTGGCCTCTTATGTCCTCCTCTCTTTGATCTCTTGCTGTTCCTCCTTTGCCTCGGTTCTCTTTCTGTTTATACGCTGTGCCTGCTAGCCCCGCCTATTCTTTCTCCTGCCTCACTATTGGCCATTCAGCTCTTTATTAGACCAGCAGGTGTTTTAGACAGTCAATCACAGCTTCACAGAGTTAAACAAATGTATCATAAACAAAAGTAACAAACCTTAAAATAATATTCCCCAACAGTGTTGCCCTTGAGGTGGGCTTATGAGTACTGTTTCTTAAAATCAATAGTAGGTCTTAAATACTTCCCAGGTTCTTAGGATTTATCTGGAAAGTAAATAAATTTTAAGTTTTGGGGAAGGCCATTCATATCTGCATTCCCATACACATTCTCAATAGTAAGCCCTACACTACTGTTTAGAAAACAGTATCATGTTTAAACCAAGTACATGCTTTGAAATTATCTTTAGAAAAATATAATTTTTTTTGTTCTGTTGCAATTTTTTATCATTATTTCCATTTGAATCATATAGATGAAAATAATGAAACATTAGCTCACTTTATGAAGATCTATATACACAGAATGATGATACTCATAGTCCAAAATCTAGGGATCTAAAATAGTCCAAATCTGAAACAGTTTGAGCTTTCAGCTCTGAGCATTGGATTAAGCTACAGACTGGAAGTCTGTATACATGTCCCTGCATCACGGGAATCCCAGACCTGAACTTCCTTGGTTCAGGCATCTGAGGATGGTGGCGCCCAGGAGCTGGGGAAGGATGTGAACTTCAGGTGGATTAGCCATGACTGCCCGTGTCTGATGACACACGCGAGTGAAGGGACAATAGTGTAGAATTCTGAGATTGTCTTGCCAGAATTTTGAAGAAAGTTTTTTTTTTTTTAGAGATCTTAGAAAATTCAAAGATGCCAAGAAACAATTCGAAAAAGTCAGCGAAGAAAAGGAAAATGCACTAGTGAAAAACGCCCAAGTTCAGAGAAACAAGCAGCACGAAGTGGAAGAGGCCACAAACATCCTCACCGCCACGAGGAAGTGCTTCCGGCACATAGCCCTCGACTATGTCCTTCAGGTATGGTCTTGCCCGCCTCCTGTCTCCCAGCAATGGTTACCTAGCAGGCTCCTTTGAGTGATTGTCCTAGGAAGAATACAGAATGCTTTTTCTTGGAATTTAAAATTAAAACGCCATTTTTGTAATTTAATGCTTTTTTGAGGTATCTTAGACTGGCCTCAATCTCACTGTGTAACCCGTCTTGGCCTCAACTTGATACTTTTCTGCCTCAGTCTTTGGAGTACTGGGCAGTTCTACATTGTTACCTCCAGTGGGAAATATGACTTCCACCTGGTTATGTATGTCTTTGTGTGCACACAGGTATGTGAATATAGATGCCTTTGGTGCTGATTCCTTTCCTTTTTCCTTAGCTATAATATCCTATACACATTTTATTCTGCGGCAGTTCTAGTTCAACTTACTTGATATTTGACTCTCAGGCTTAAATAGTGTTAGCTTTTACTGGCAACATTAAAATATGTGTCTTTTTCAATTTTTCAAAACTTTTATTAGTGCTTCTTAACATAATCCCCAAACAGCACCTTCTCAGGGAATGCACCGTGAGAACTGTTTTTCTGGGTGAAGCGCCTGCTTCCCCTTGTCTCCGAGCAGCATACGTGTGATCCGTATGTACTTAGTGGCAGCAGCTTCAGTAGCTGCAGAAGTTGTCTGGAATTCATTGGCTGCTTTTGAAGAGGAAACCCCAGGCCCATGGAGGATTTGACTCCCTGTGGAGGTGGAAGACAGTAGCAGGGCTGTATGGTTCCACCCGGCACACGGGGAGAGACAGGAGATGTGTATTTCTTTATCTTTTGGTATGCATGTTTGTGACCGTAGGTCTTTGCTTACGCGTGTGTGTGCACTTCAGATGTCCTCCAGAATACTGTCCATCTTCGTTCAGGCAGATCTCTCACTGGCCTGCAGCTCACCAATTGGGCTATCCTGGCCGTCTGGTGAGCTGGTGAGCGCCTGGGATCCTTTTCATCTGTTCATCATTGGGATTACAAATACTCTTTACCATGCCTGGCTTTGTTGTTGTTGTTGTTTGTTTGTTTTTTGAGACAGGGTTTCTCTGTGTACTCCTGGCTGTCCTGGAACTTGCTCTGTAGCCCAGGCCGGCCTTGAACTCTCAGAGACCCCTCTGCCTCTGCCTCCCTAGTGCTGGGATTAAAGGCATGCACCCCCACTGCTTAGCATTTTTTATGTGGAGTCTAGGGATTGATTGCTGATTGTTGTGTTCAAGAACATCAATTTACTAACTGAACATCTCTCTGGTTGCTATATTCTTTTCTATTTCTAGATTATTGTAGTTTTGTGTGTATATATGTGTATGTATGTGTGCACACACAAACTTGGGTGTTATGGAAATGTCTATATAAAATTATACACACAAATATATAATTATATGTATGTGTATATATATGTATACATATATATTATATATATGTATATATAATTTTTTTTTCTTGTTCACAGTTCTCTCAATGGCCTGGAGCTAGGCTAGGTTGAGTCCCAGGATTCTGCCTTTTCCCTTCCCCAGAGTGGGATTTTAGGAATGTGCTCATGCACCCAGCTTTTTTCCATGGTTCTGGGGACTGAACTCAGGTCCTCATGCTCGTGTGGCCAGCATTTATAGACTGGGTAGTCCTGTAGTCCCAGAGTATTCCTGGCCTTCAGTCCCAGTGGTTGGAAAATAGTATATTATTTTTGTTTTTTAAAGAGTGAATGATATAATGTTATGAATTTTGTGTATGATAGGCTAAGTTGCAATATCTGTTGCTGTGAAGAGACCCTATGACCATAGCAACTTTTTTAAAAAACGATTTATTTATTGTGTGTACAGTGTTCTGCCTGCACGTATGCCCACATGCCAGAAGAGGGCACCAGATCTCATTACAGATGGTTGTGAGCCAGCCACCATGTGGTTGCTGAGAGTTGAACTCAGGACCTCTGGAAGAGCTGGGTCTTAACCTCCGAGCCATCTCTCCAATCTGAGCATGGCAACTCTTCTAAGGAAAGCACTTAATTGTGGTGGCTCGTTTACAGTTCAGAGGTTTCATCCATTATCATCATGGCGGGAAGGAAGGTAGCATGCAGGCAGACATGGTGCTGGAGAAGGAGATGAGAGTTCTTACATCTTGATTCAAGATGTAAGGCACCAGGAAGTAATCTGTCTCACTGAGTGTGGCTTGAGCATGTATGAGACCTCAAAGCCCGCCTCCACAATGACATACTTCCTCCAACAAGGCCACACCTCCTCATAGTGTCACTCACTTTGGGAGTCATTTTCCTTTAAAGTACCGCTTGGGCTTTAGCTAAAATATCCATTATTTTCCAACTGAAACATAATAATTGGGCATTTCCTTTGAGTTCATGCGACAATACTAAGTTAGCCTCCATGCTCACTCCCTTCTAACTATAATTTTTCTCAAGAGAATTCTTGGATCATTTTTTTTGTGTGTGTGTGTGACCAAAGTAGCTATTTTAGAGAATAATAGTAATGGATACTCCAAAGTGTAAGGTACTTTAGATGCTCTAAGATTTGAATTTTCCTTGAGTTTGAATTTTTTTTCAAATAAAGAGGACAAAACAGAAACCTGAGTTGGAACAGCCCCCCTCCCCAGCCTACACTGGGCATCTGGGGGAATCTGAACAGTGCCCCCCTCAACCTGCGCTCAGCATCCGGGATCAGTGTATTTCTCAGAATTGAACAGGCTGTGAAGCAGACAGGCAGAAGAAACCAGTGAGAAGGAAGAAAGTCAGGCTTAGAGTTTTCTTGGTCTGCTTTTGTTTTTAAGACTGTGTTTTACAATTCCCTTATTAAAGACATTTGGAAGGCGTTCTGTGCTCTTCTTGGCAGCATTAATAAAGAGTGAGGGCCTCTTTTGGATAACGTTATATTTAAATAAACTGTTTTTTTGTTTAAAAAAGGCAGCAAAAATATTTGTTAGAAATTTCTAGAGCTGCAAAAGATCCAGTTAAAGCCTCCTTCCTCCTCGAACTCACTATGTAGCCAAGGATAGCTTTGAACTCACAATCCTCCTGCCTCTATTCCCAGGGATTATTGACATGCACCATGACTCCTGTCTTGGGCAATCCTGGGGTTTTAATCCAGACCTTTGTGCATGTAGGCGAGCAGTCTGCCAACTGAGCTTAACCCTACCCCTGAAAACTCATAATTATGCTGGCATTTCAGTAAGTCGATCATAATTAAGATACTTAAATCCATTACTTTAACATATATTTATGGAGTGCTTACTATGTTCTACTTAGGGACTAGAACTGAGAAGAAGGCCCCAATCTCATGGTGATTTAGCTGGGGAAAAGACATCGTCAGAAAGCAGCAAGTAAGCACTGGGGAGGCAGAGGCAGGCCTAGTCTCCATAGTGAGCTGGAACTCACTGTGATAGTCAGAGCTACATGGTGAGACTCTGTCTTAAGAACAAAAACAAAGACAAAACAAAGAAAAGTAGTTATAAATTGAAAGACCCTCAGAGAGGACCTTCCCTCAGGAGGAGACCCCTGAACCCAAGGAACAGTCTGAGACCACTGGCTGCAATAGCAAGAGGTTTTTTAATTGAGCGGTGCACAGGTACCTGCTGGCACCAGAGTCTATTTGGAAGACTTGGGCGCCCTCAGGCTGGGCAGGGGGTCTTTTATATGGAAACGGGTGGCAGAAGCAGGCATACAGAAGCAGATGCATGGTTACAGGGATCCCATTGATCAGTTCGAATGAGGCGATGGGTTCACTTGGGGACAAGTTCCTCGGGGACATGAAGATCTGATAATAGCTGACTTGGCTCTATCTAGGGCACATGTAGTTTTTCCCAGAACTTTTCGTTCCCCTCCTAGGCCTGATGTCTGACCACAGATATCCTGTTTGGCAGCCTAGGAGTACTGACTTTACCTTGAACTTATACTTGTTTGTGTGAAAGCCTTGCAAAATGGTGTTACAGCAGCTAAGCTGGGGTCTTTCAAAATGTTATCGCTAAGTAGAATGGATATAGTGGCTAGCGAGTCAGGGGCCAAGTTAGACCTGTGTGAGAGGATGGTGTGTAGCTGAAGCCCGGGTTAGCAAGAGATAACTCTAGGTCATGAGGGCAGAGCATCCTGACATGGAGGCAGAACAGCCAAACCAAGGCATCTGTGGGACAGTGATGGTCTGGCAGGAGCCCAGAAAAGGCAGAGGAATAGACCATGGGGCTGGAGCCGGTGGCAGGGGCCTCGGCACAGTGGCTTTTGGGGACATGCTAGGAGGTTGCAGGATTTAGCACTGAAGGTAATGTGACTTCGTTTATATTGGAAAATCACTGTGGAACTGTGTGGAGAAGAGATTACATGGAACGAAGAAGGGAAACATTGGCAGTCCAGAAAAGATAGAAAGAGGAAATGGTGATAATTTGCACTACGGCTGTGGTTGAACCTGGATCTTCAAGTAGATGAGGGTGGAGGAAGATGCCACATGCTCAAGTACTCAAATGTCCATGACAACGCTGCTGTAATTTGAAGAACCAGTGTTTTCACTGAGCATGAGTGTGGTTGGGTATCCATTGGTATGCTTGTCATAAGTCTTTTCGCCAAAAGAGGTTTAACAATGAAAAACCCAAGCTTTGATTCTTCTTTTGTTTTGGGATCGTTAGGACAGGCATGCTTAGAATCTTGTATTCTGAGTTAGTATTTAATTCACGGATGCTTAACCAAGTTTATCTTTCCTCAGATTAATGTGCTTCAATCAAAGAGGAGATCAGAAATCCTGAAATCAGTAAGATCTTAATGAAACACTGCTAACTGGGACTTGTCTGTGTGTGTAGCCTCTGTAGTCTGACGCTCTGTCGGGGAGCTCTTGACTCCCTTTGCTCCCCGTTTCTAGTTCCTGTGTTTTCTGCTTCAGTTCCAGCTGCTTATGTGTCTGTGTTGCTAGCATAGCCTGCTCCACGCAGGCAGGCCCACTGCTGGTGCTCCGCTCTGTTATCTGATGGAACGTTGGTGTGGTCTAGAAGCCGGAAGTGGTGTCTGACACTGGCAAGACCATTTCAGGAACCAAATATGATCATCACCTTGAATTTTCTTTTACTTGTATTTCCTTTTATGTTTTGGATTTTTTGTTTGTTTGTTTGTTTTATGAGACAGAGTTTCTTTGTGTAGCCATGACTGTTCTGGAACTCACTCTGTAGACCAGGCTGGCCTCAAACTCAGAGATCCGCCAGCCTCTGCCTTCTTTGTGCTGGGATTAAAGGTGTATTTGCTTTTAGAAAGTTTGTTTTTAAAAATATTTTTTAGGTTTCTTTATTTTATATGTACGTGTGTTTCATAAATATGTATATGTATTACATGCATGCCTGGTGCCTACAAGGCCAGAAGAGGGCATCAGATCCATTGGAACTGGAGTTATAGACAGTTGTGAACTGCCATATGGGTGCTGGGAACTGAACCCCAGTTCTCTGCCAGAGCAGCCAGTGATCTTAACTGCTGAGCCATCTCCTCAGCCCCCGCTCCCCCTGGAGGGTCAAAGGACAACTCGTGGAAATAAGTTCTCTTTTTCTCCCATGGGGAATCCGGGGACTTGTACTCTGGGTGTTAGGACCAATGCTATCTTCACTGACTGTCTTGCCGTCCCTACTTAAAGTTTTCAGATCTGGAAAAGGCTTTTAAAAAATAATACCAAATTTCAAGGCTTGTAAGCTGTTTTCACTGATAGTGTGTGAGAGCAGCCATTTCTCTACTGATTTTTAAAGGCAGTGGCATTATAGCCTTGTCTCGTCACCTTCCCCAGTGGTATGATAGACAGAAAATGAGATTTCCATATGAATTTTGCATTTTCAGAGTTCAGTCATTTTTCTGTATGTTTTTCTGGCTACTTACAGGATGTATGTGTATCTTTTCTCTTCTTCTGTTGAAGTCTTCATGTTTTGTTCTGATCTGTGGCACCTTGTATGGATTCAGATCACTGATCTTTTGCTGTGTTTTCCTGATTTATCATTTATTTTTTAATATGCTTAGTATGTATTTTGATATATAGGTATATTGCATTTTTAAAAATTCTTTTAACTTTTATCAGTTCTTTATGGATCTGACATCATGCATTCAGATCGGATCCTACCCATCTCCCAGTCCCCCGAATTTGCCCTCCCGCCGCTGCACCCTCTTCCCCCAAACAAAACAAAATTTAAAAGAAAAACCAAAAAGCCAAAACAAACCAACAAAACAAAGAAAAATCTCATTGTGGAAGTTGTAGTGTGCCCTTGTGTATTTTACATTTTTATATAATCTTATTAATTCTTTATAACTCAGTGGTTTGAAAAATATTTTCACACGGTTATATAATTATTACCATTATCTAACACTATAGTAATTTTTATATGTGAGTTTTATCATTAATCTTTGAATTTTACTTAGCTTCTTTATATTTTGAAAACAATTTTTTTTTCTGTAGGAGATTCTTGAGTATCAACACTCTTATGCCCTACATTAGTCTTCAGAATATTAAATAGATGTCTGTTCTTGCTAAAAAATAAAGCAGGACTTTGGAGATCATTTGCATACATTTAATTATATATAATTCCTTCCCATGTAAAAACCAAACTAATGAAAACAGGAGTGTCTTTTCTTCTGGGAATTAATAAAATACAGAAAAAGCTGGGAACCCCCACTCCTTACTTAATGTCAGTTTTTTTTTTTAAATATTTATTTATTATGTATACAATATTCTGTCTGTGTGTCTGCCTGCAGGCCAGAAGAGGGCGCCAGATCTCTCTGCAGATGGTTGTGAGCCACCATGTGGTTGCTGGGAATTGAACTCAGGACCTTTGGAAGAGCAGGCAATGCTCTTAACCTCTGAGCCATCTCTCCAGCCCACTTAATGTCAGTTTTGAGTCTGTGGGATGAATATAAAGAAATCCCCAGGGCCAGTGAGGGGGCTCTGCAGGTGAGGACACCTGCTACTGACCTGATGTTCTGAGTTCAGAGGCCAGACAGGGAACTGACTTTTGCAAGATCTCCTGGACCGTCACACTCCCCAGGCGTGTGTGAACACACACACATACTGCACAAAAATAAATAAGCAGTTTTCTAAAAACAGAAAAGTCTATGTCATCCCCACTTGTATCTAATTTTTTGGAAAAAGGAGTAACTGAGAGTCCGCACACCTCCCTGGAGCTGGTGTCCCTGGTAGGTTAGAGTGTCCCCATACCTCCCTGGGGCTGGTGTCCCTGGTAGGTTAGAGTGTCCCCATACCTCCCTGTGGCTGGTGGCCCTGGTAGGTTAGAGTGTCCCCCCACACCTTCCTGGGGCTTGTGGCCCTGGTAGGTTAGAGTGTCCCCACACCTCCCTGGGGCCTGGTGACCCCTGTAGGTTAGAGTGTCCCCACACCTCCCTGGGGCCTGGTGACCCCTGTAGGTTAGAGTGTTTGCTACTGTTGACATATCTTCTCTTCTCTGCTTAGGGAGTTTTCTTCGAGGACCATATAGACATCTCAGATGTACTTAAGGATTACTGTTGAGTGAGGCTATTGAGAATGTTATTTAAATCACCCATGTATCTTTTATTTGGCTCTAAACAACTACAGTTGTTAAGATGCCAAGCCACTGCGTTTTTCTCTTAGAAAAATTGTATTCTCTTTGTATTTACAAATATTTATGAAGTTCTTAAGAAAAAAAAAAACAACTCCATTTTAAGTAGATTTGACACTTTGAGTCCTTGTGGAGTGTTCTTAAATGTGGGGAGGACTCTAGCTTTCTTCGCTTCCAGCACGCCTCTGAGCTGATACCCCTCTCTCCCTCTTAGATGCTGTCCTTCATGTATGCACATCTGGCCTTCTTCCACCAAGGCTATGACCTGTTCAGTGAGCTCGGGCCCTACATGAAAGATCTTGGAGTGCAGGTAACCTCTTGCCTGGACTTTTTGATTCTGGGCTGCTTGTTGGCGTGTGTGTCTCTAAAGATATTTAGCATATGGGAATCTGGCTTCTCACTTACTTATAAGGAGTTTGGCACTGGAGCACATTCACATGTGGGTTAAAGGTTGAGCCAGAAGTGAACTTAAAGGTGACAATGCCTGTGTTGAATATTGACATGAGGGTTCTGAAGAAGAGACTTCAAGGAACTCTTCCAGCAGGTGCGGTGCATAGCTGTGGTCCTATCGCCTGGGAGGGAGGCTGAGGCAAGCTGAGATACACGTCCACTTTTTATACTACAAATAGTGGGATTTAGCCCTTTACTTTTTAAACTAAGTCAGTAATCAAGTTACTGCCTTAGTTTGCTTTTATTTAAGACATTGCTTTTTTCATTTTCAAAAATTTATATTGGCTGCTTGAGTAATGAAAGTCTTAGAATCATAAAGCTCCCAAGACCATTTATCATCTCACAAAGATGCATTAAATATGTTTGGAGCCCCCCTTTCACACTTGGTGGTGGCACTGCGGCTCAAATACAAATATAGGGCCTTAATGCATGCTAGACGTGTGCTTTATCACTGACTTGGCCCAAGTTACTTCGGACGGTACTTTGTATTGGGTGATGAACCTTCTTACTCTGATATAATAGTATTAATCTGTAGGTTTTCTTTCCCAGTATACTTTGTGAGGTGAGAGAATAAGGGGGAAAAAATAGAATTTAGGGAAATGGGAGAAAGATAAGAGAGGAATGGGAATACCATTCAATGATCAAAGTATATGTGTGGGAGGGGAGGAGGGAGAGAGGGGAGGGAAGGGAAGAGGGAGGGGAGGGGAAGGAGAGTGGAGGGGAGGAGGGAGGGGAGGAAGAGAGGAGAGGAGGAGGGGGAGGAGAGAGAGAAGAGAGAGGAGAGCAGAGCACAGGCTGTGAATTCCATGCTTTCTGTTCTTTGTCTCCTGCTGTGGGCTGCTGTTCATGTCCCTGCTCTGTGTGTGTGTCAGGTGAGGTAGGGTTTGTTTGCAGTGCAGCCTGAGGAAACTGGGACTTCTGTAAGAGAATCTTCATTCTTTTATGTAAAGTCAGAAGCACAGGTTCATGGGTATTTGTGTCACACAGTTAGCCTCATGGTTAAAAGTGACTTATCAATCTTAGCCATCATTCTCACACTCCAGCTAACAGAGGGGAGGGAAGGGAAGAGAAAGGTGCATATTGTCTGCCTAAGGATATTTCCTAGAAATTGTATACACATTCTGTGTACATCCCAGTGACCTGTGTGCAGTCACTCATTGCAGGGAAACCTGGGAAATATAGCTTCGTTGCCAGAAAATGATCTGGCAGAATTAGGTGTGGGGTGGTTCCGTTGTAAGGGAAGAGGAGGAAATAAATACTGGGAATAGTTAACCTTTTATACTGCAGAAGAGGGTAGCGTGATGTATAAACATGTAGCTTAGACATCTGGTCCAACATCTGTGTAAGGTCTTGAGGCAGGGGTGCAGCTCTGGGTAGAGTACCACAAACTCTAGAACCAAAGTAAGATCAAATTCTAAGGAATCTAAAACGGGCTAGAGGTGAAAGAGTTTAGCCAGGTCACAAAAGCCAACTGCTCTGTCAGTGACTGTACAGAAACATTAAACACACCACACACACATACATACACACACACACACACCCTCTGATCCAGGCCTGGTGGGAGGGTCAGACCTTGCTGTGTTCTAGGCAGTCTTTACATCTCATTGGCTTACTGCAGGCAGCAGTTATAAGGATCATGTGAATTGAGTTGTAGTAGGCTAGTGGGAATGATTGGTTTTATCTATTTATAACTTTCAGTTTTGTGTCCTTCCCCTTCTAAACCAAGTGATTTTGCAGGCCTTGAAAAACATGTATTAAACGACATGTTCTGTAGTGGTCCGTTTAGATGTGGTCAATTAAGAGAATCTTGTAGTAGTTAAGTAAGGAGATATTAACAGTTGGAACTACAGAATTAATATTCTTTTATTATTTTGTTTAATTTAACCCCACTTTCCCCCAAGCGTGTGGTGAGTGATGGGTCGTGCCTGTTGATGGGAGCTTTCGACTTTTGCCTTTCCTAGTTCAGCTGTCAGCTGCATTGCCTTTTGCTAGTGCTGGAATAATAATAAAAATCATGCTTTTGTGCATGCGCTTTGTTTTGTTTATCTTGTCTGCAGCTACGAGCGTCTTCTAAGTGGGTCAACAGGCACTTTAGTTAGGGTCCTTGTCCTTTAAGGATGGAACGCACACTGCTGCAATGCTCAAGACCAGGCCTCCAGCTTGGAAGCCATTCCCCCTAAGATAGCTGCTTTCTCAAAAAGGATTTAATGCTAGAAAAATGTGAATGTCTACTCAAGTGTATAGCAAAAAATGCCCTTTTAGGTTAACGTTAATCGGTTGATTTCTATTTATCTGTAAAATAACTTGGAATATGGTTTGCCAAATACCTTTGTTTCTTTGACTTTTAAGTCTATAATTTTCTTCTTTTCTTTAGTTGGATCGACTGGTTGTAGATGCTGCAAAGGAGAAAAGAGAGATGGAGCAAAAACATTCTACTATCCAGCAGAAGGTATGGGGCAACTCAGATTGACTTGCGTTTGCGGGAATGTTAGTGAATGCAGCTACCATTGCTACACAGGTCCCCTCAGTCGCTTGTTTTAGTAAACCGTTCTCTTTGTGAAAAGTAAACGTTAGTGCTTGCATTTTGTTATCTTCTCAGAGCAAAACATTTGCAAGCTAGATTCTCGAACCAGTTTATAAATACTGCCTAACTAAAGGTTACACCTTGTTAAAATCTTGGATATTATTCAAGGTATCATTTAGGACACTGGCAACCACCTGCCAAAGTGTGCATGCATGTATGTGCGTGGGCACAAGGCAGGGCATGTGTGTGTTCATCTGTACACACATGTGTATTCTGTGTGAGAGAGAATGTGTGCACATTCTCGCCTCTCTCTCTCTCTCTCTCTCTCTCTCTCTCTCTCTCTCTCTCTCTCACTTCCCAGCTGCAGCCACTCTAGGGCAGCTCGGACCTTCTGGACCTTCATTGCTTGTTGATTGCCTAAGCCTAGCTAAACTATTCTTGACAAATACTTTTAAACATGAGGATTCAATAGAAATTTGTGTTAATTTCTTTATACAAGAGTTGAGTGTATTGTGTCCATACTTTACAGGCAATAGTCTGCGATGGGTTGGTGCAGTGACCCAAGCATAAAGGCAAATTAGGGACTGGATAGTTCTATAGAGTTATGGTGAAGTTCCTTCTGCATGCTGTAAGAGATCTGTCCTCTCGATAATAAGCAACCAGGCCAACTTTGATTACAGATTACTTAGATTGGATCAGACATAGAAGATGTAAATGGGGAAAAATGAAGCGAAATCCGGAGCAGGTATAAGACAAAGATAATTGTTCATGTTCAAAAATAACATTTAGAGAAGGGAAGACTTTTTTCTTAGGCCATCTTTACATCAGTCACTTTTAGTTACTAGAGGAGGAGGCTAACTCCATATTTCCTTTTGTTTAAAGACGTGATCTGTCTGTCTTCCCAGCCTAGCTTTGACCTCATAGCCCTCCCACTCTCTCCTCCTATGTGCCTGGGATTACAGGTGTGCACCACCGTCCCAGCTCTGGTTTAATTTACAGGTCTTGACTTGCTGCTCCCTTTCTCCTGCTTGCCCTGTCTCTCCAGAGTCTTGCTATGCAGCTCAGACGGGCCTTGAACTTATGACCCATCTGCCTCAACCTCCTGAGTGCTGGGATTATAGCTTTACACTACCGTGCCTCCCTCTTCTTTATGTTTAGGCTATACAACATGGCATTTTGATGACTAACTTGTTTTAATGGCATTAGTGTCACATGATTGCTAAAAGTAAGATGACAAATTATGTTTCAAAAACTATGTGATTGTTGATTAAATTGAATAAATATTTTAATGTCTTTTTATATATTTGTTCAGTATTACCCTGAAGGCCTCAAACTGGTAAACTGTCCAATAGGAGATGATTTGACTTTAAACAATGCACAACTGTTTTTATTTAAGAAAATAATGCTCTTTTTACTCATTGTGAATACTTTCTCTGCCCCTAAATGCTGACCCAGGCTGCATTACAGGTAAATAAACAAGCAAACAAACAAACAAAGTCAACTGAAATGTAAGGGAAAGCATTTCTGATACTTTCCCAGTTGTTTTATCAATTGTATTGATCAGTGTGAGAAGTAGCGATGCTGTGAGTGCCCGTCTGTCTGTCCTGTCCGTGCCTTGGCATGTCTTTAGATGAACACTAATGGAATAGAGCTGCTGTGCCAAACAGCGTGCATGTGCCCACCATGTCGAGGACGCTGGCAGACAGCGCCGAGGTTCTTGATGTTCCCACCACTACACTGTGGATATGGACATCGCATTGTGGTTTTAATTTCTGCATCATCAGTAACTAGTAATTTATATCTTCAGGTCATTAGTGGTCCCTGTTTATGAAATATCTACTCTCTTTTCTTCGATTTTACTCCCAGGCTTTTTAGCTGATGACCAAGTTCTTCATATATTCTAGATATAGGTGTTATATGTTCAGCCCTGTGTCTAGTGCTTTTGTTATTGGTTTAGCAGTTCCCATCACAAGATCGCAAATACCTCTTCCACATAGCTTTGCTTTTCATGTTTATAGCTTTGTTTTATTTGTTTGTTTTTTGTAACGGTGCTGGAGATTGAGCCTCGGGCCTCATGTAGATGCTTTGTCATCGAGCTCTGTCTTCGGCACTGGCATTTAGCTCTGTAACTCATGTAACTGGTTGGGTTCTTGTGTGCAGTGGGTAGGAATTTACTCCAGTGTTCTGTGCTACGGCCTGTGGCATGTGTTACACTCCACACCTCTCCTATCTGAGGCGCCTTTTGAACTGTCTTTCCATCCCATGGTCATTTTGTCTTAATTATCCCAACACATCATTGTCTTAGTTGTTATCAGCTTTACAGTAACTTTTCATGTCTGAGAAAGCAAAGCTTCCACCTCCTCTTTCTGCACACTGAGTTTTGTATACTCAAACTCCAGGAGTAATTTTGTTCTAGAACAGGAGCTTTTTGGGGGATTGGTGAGATGACTCAGTGGGCTCAGCGCTTGCCACACTAGCCTGGTAGTCTGAACAAAGCTGTCCTCTGACCTTCCTGAGTGCTGGGACATTTGTTAGTCTTCCTCCAGGATACACACAGTAGTAATTCATTTTTTTTTAAAGGCTTTCCGAATTTTGGTCGAGGTTATATTGGATCTGTCACAGTCTTACTCTACCTTCTTTTTAAATTCTCTTAATGACTTGCATGAGGTTTTGGGATTTTCTTACATACCTTTGGTTAGGTGTATTCCCAGACCCCTACATTACAAATGTTCCTGTAACTACTACCTTTAGAAAGTCTCTGTTCTGTTTGGGCGAGATTGATTTCCCTGTGTTGATTTTATACCCAGCACTCTCGCCAGTGCTCTCCCTGTGTTGATTTTATACCCAGCACTCTCATTGATGCTCTCTCTGTATTGATTTTATACCCAGCACTCTCATTGATGCTCTCTCTGTATTGATTTTATACCCAGCAATCTAATGCTCTTGATGCTGCTTTCTCTCTGAATTCTTTTGTGTATAGTGTCCTCTCTGTAAGCAACATCAGGACAGTGTACTTCTTTCTTTCCACCCTTCACCTTTGTCGCTGCTCTGGTTGACTGGACCTTTCTGATAGTCTTGACTGGTGGTGGTAATAATGGTTCTTTTGGTCTCACTTGCAGGCTCAGTGGAAATGCTTTGGTTCGCTGTTTCCACTCACCCTTCTTAGTCCAGCCATCTGCAGGAAAGAGGCAGATGTCCTTGTTCTGTCCATCTGTCTTCCAGTTTTTCTTCACTCTAGTTGCCTTTGAGTGTCCCCTCCTAATTGTCAGATTATGAACGCGTTCACAGAGATTCCAGAAGCAATATTGCATCCACTGTTACTAGCTGCTTACATATGGGATGTCCTGCAGTGTATCACATCTGAGTACTTTATTAAGGCACATTGATAATAGAAGACTCATAAATCTCAAGAAGTAGTCGAGAATACACATTTACAGTGCATTTCACATTGAGCTAATTCTGTTTTCTGCTTTATATCATTACTATTTGGTATCACTACTATTATTACTATTTTGGTGTTGCACATGCTGGACAAACAGACCCCATCGAGCTGCACCCCTAGCCCCATCATTTATGCTCTGAGTCTCGTAATGATTACAAAGAACCTGTAGATGCCTCAAACACAACCTTTAGTCCTCCCCAGAAACTAAAAGTAAAGCCACCATGTGACGACAGTAGCGCCACTCCTGGGCCTGCTCCTGACTACGTAAGGGAAGCGCACCCCAGAGATGCCGGCACACTCGAGTTTCCTGCTGCAGTTCACAGTGGCCAAGACGTGGAGCCACCCACGTGTCTTCGGCAAACATGGGACTAATGAAAATGTCACATGTTCACACACATGTGCACACAGAGTTCATTTAGCCTTAAAGAAGAGTAAAAGTATGTCGTTTACAGGAAGACAAAAGTGGAAACGGAATAGGCAAGTATCAGAAAGATAAATAGTAAGTTCTTTCTCCTATGTGGAATCTAGCCCAATATATTAATACTAAGTACATGAAATCTACACATACGAATATGTCATAATGAAACCCTATATTATATTCTATGTTGATTTAAGATGTAAAAGTAAAAGCACAAGAAACCTTTAAGATGTTGTAAAGGCGAGGGCCGGGAGGACAGCTCATTTGGTGCAGTGTGTGCTATGTAAGCATGGGGCCCTGTGGTCAGATTCCAGGGACCCTGAAAAAGGCTGGGCGCCTTGGCCTACACCTGTGGAACTAGTACTAGGGGACGGGAGTGAGGTGGACCCCTGGAGTCTGCTTGCCAGCTAGTGTTGCCAAATTGGTGAGTTCCAGGTTTATTGAAAGAACCTGTCTCAAGACATAAGGTAGAGTACAATCGAGGAAGATCCCTAACGTTGATTCCTGGCTTCACAGGAGTACACGTGCTCACACACATATGCACAGATGAACATGTACACACGTACAAAGTATACATATGTTGCAGAAGTCAGTTAAGTCTGGTTACTGCGCAGTGCACTCTGCTGTGAATGATGGTTGGGTTTATGTGCTTGGGCAGAGCACTTGTCTGTTGTGTTTAGAGTACTGAGTTCAGACCATACATGAAGTACACATGCATGCATGTACACATGAACATACACAAAGTAATGTGAATTTTAAAAATAGGTGTACACATAGATCCGCCGGCCTCTGCCTCCCAAGTGGTATTAAAGATGTACGACTACTGCCTGAATACCGCCTGGCTTTTTTAGATTCCTGAATTCAACCTATTTCCATTTCATGTTTTAGCATGTTCATGTGAGGAAGCCCTGGGAGGATTCTCATCTGCTTTCCCTCTACTGCTGGTTTCTCACAGCTAAGCGTCATCCAGTCTGCAGAAGAGCTATCATAGGTAGAAGTCTGGCTTCCAAGTTAAGAGCACTTGCTGCTCTTGCAGAGAGCAAGAGTTTGGTCCCCAGCACCCCGAATTGTTAGTGTGTTAAAGCACGTCTCTGTTGTTATGTTCCTTCCCCCGAGTTTGTGTAGGACTTACTGCGAACTTCTTACAGCTCTTTTCCCTGGTTACATCCCTTTCTGGAAACACCGTTGTCTGAACTCGTGTGTATCTGTCTAGGACTTCTCCAGTGATGACTCCAAGCTGGAGTATAATGTCGATGCTGCGAATGGCATCGTCATGGAAGGGTATCTCTTCAAGCGAGCCAGCAACGCCTTCAAAACGTGGAACAGGTAACAGACTTAAAACGTTCATTGTAATTTTAACATGTTTGCCATTCTCTGACTTTCCTTGTAATTGGCAACTCATTTTCCCCAGAACTATCTAAATTCTAAAAATTCTTATTAACTTTCTTTAGTACAGTCTACCGAATCGTAAGGGTCAGGTGAAGAGTGAAAACACAGATTTTTAGATTTGAAACTAAGGGCTTAAAGGAGAAAACTAGATTTTTTTAACTCTTGGTCTATAATGACTAAATTCTCATATATATATATATATATACACACACACATATGTATATATATGTATATGTACACATATATATGTGTACACACACACACATACACCACACACCGGGCTACAGAGCTAGTTCCAGCTCAGCCAGGACTACACAGAGAAACCCTGTCTCGATCCTCCCACCTCCCCACCCCCGCAAAGTAAAAATTTGCAGGTCTTAAGGCCAGGTAACACTGAGCTTTTGGCCTTTGTAATAACACGTAAGTAGGACATGAGAAGTCATGATAGTCATTATTTCTTCATTATAAATGTAATAGCTAGCAAACACTTTGAATTTTTACTTATGTTTTGTTGTTGTTTATTTTGTTTGTTTGTTTTTTCAAGACAGGGTTTCTCTGTATAACAGCTCTGGATGTCCCGGAACTCATTTTGTAGACCAGGCTGGCCTCGGATTTACAGAGATCTGCCTGCCTCTGCCCATCAAGTGCTGGGATTAAAGACGTGAGCCACTACTGCCTGGCTTGATTAATATTTACAAAATACAAAACTATTGAATGTCTTACAAGAATGGAATTATAGCCAGGTGTCATGGCGGGCACACCTATAATCCTACCCACGAAGGCAGAAGAATTTTGAGTTCCTGGCCAGCTTAACTTGCATAGTATGATCTTGTGTCAAAAATCGCAAAACAAAACAAAAAAGAAAATATGAAGTATTTTACTATATTGATATGAAGTAATGTCATGCCTAGCAGCATTGAAGGGTGCTCAGCTCCAGTCGTCCTTCTGATGTTAGTGCTTGGTCTTTTACTCAAGGATGCCGTTTTCCCTTTTGTTTAAATCAAAAAAGGACAGTTTTATAATAATTGAGAGTGGTGTTTGTGTTCTGGGTAACTGATTTGCTATTGCAGGGTTGGATGAAATGTCTTCTGTGGTAGCGGCAGGTAGGCATTCACCCAGTGATGGAGATGTTCCTAATGGCAGGTTATTGCTAAAATCAATAGGGTCTCCTATTAATGTTCATTGGGTGTACACTGTGTTAATTTAATGGGAGCCTCAGTGCTGTATTGAGATGGATTCTGATTGCACTTACTTAGATTTCTTGGTGTTGAAGTTCAAAAGCTCTCAGTGACATTTTTAAATGTCAGTGGTTTATTGAGCATTTCTCTAGTGTTTGATGTTGTAGGAAATCTAAATGGTACATGATTTTATTTGAATTTTTTCTTCATTTGAGAGTGAATAAGCTGAAAAGACTGCAGATATTTAATATTAAGCCTCTGAGTTATGCAGAACCTTTAAATAAGACATGGGTACTGGAGGACCATTATTGTGATCTTGTTATCAGTAATGCTTCTAGTTATTACACAGTGAAAATGAAAAATTAAAATTGTGTTTCTTGAGCTGAAATGTAAAACTATGATCCCTTTAAGTCCTCGGCAAATTCTGTAGCTTGTGTAGGAAACTAGAAACAACAAGTGTGCAATAATTTTATAAGATTATTCAGCCACTGTGGTTTCATAGTGTGATGCTAGAATTGAAATGTAACCTTTGGATTTGCACCTTCTTAAAGCTTAAGAAAATGAAAGCCAAGATGTATAACCACTTTGCATTTCCACCCTAGCGAGAAATGTGATCTCGGACTACAGAGCGAAGCACAGTTAGTCTTAGTGGGAGGTCCATTGCAGACCTACTGTTCAGAGCAGTAGAATAAGATCAATCAAATGTGGACCGTCTCAGTGTTTGATGAGTCATATTGACTGGCATTGACACTAACACAGAAGCGAGATCAAGTTGGAGCATCCGCAAACCACTGTTGTAGATGGGCCGTGTCCGCAGGGTGGGAAGGCATCCCCTCAGAAGTGGAGCTGCTGGGTCAAGGGCTGTCTGTGACCGCCACAGTCAGCAAGGACAGGGAGAGTTAGCGAGATGGCTGAAATTAAGACGGATTTATTTTTCTCATGGTTTTGTAGTCTGGAAATTAAAGATTGGATGACGTCATTGAGGGAGCTTGTGTTGCTGGTCTGTGTTTCAGTAGCAGAGCTGTGTGCCTGAGATGTTGAGACAGAGAGTCAAAGAGCAGGAAGGGAAATGACCAATTCCCGACAACACACATCCTTCAGGAGACCAGCACTGGTCCCTTGCACAGGCCCCGCCCCCTAAGGATTCCACCATCCTAGCTGTGCCACACTGTGAGCCAGATCTAGTGCAGAACCTTCAAGGGGGCAGATGATATGCAGAATATAGCAAAAATTTGACAGGCGAGAGCAGGGATGAGGCTTATCAAATGCCTAATCTCAGGACGTGCAAGTAATTTCCTTCCATTCATGTAATTTATTATAATACAGTCTGCTCCTCTAAGACTCTATATTCCTTAATATTAAAAACATCTCAGAGACTGGGCGGTGGTGACACACACCTTTAATCCAAGCACTAAGGAGGCAGAGGCAGGCGGATCTCTGTGAGTTCGAGGCCAGCCTGGTCTACAGAGCGAGTTCCAGGACAGGCTCCAAAGATACACAAAGAAACTGTCCCAGAAAACCAAAACCAAGCCAAACAACCCTCTCAGAATCCACCTCTTCAGATATTAAGCTTTTCTATTCGTTTTATGAAATTATATCATATTTTCAACATCAACTATCAAAGATCTCCATCCTGAGGGATATGTGAATGTGATTAAGAATTCCCAAATGTTAAAAAAAATCTCACTCATACTTCATAAATTACACTTAACTTTAAAAGCAGTGTCTAGTATTGTATGATGTAGAATGGTAATTATGTTTTGTGTGTGAGGGCAGATGGCATAAGAATGAGAAGTTCATGTCCTATTATGCATTGCCAGTCATGTTCCTGCTAAATTCCAGAGTTCTTGTTGGTGGCATCTGAACATGTAAATGTATGATACTGTTAGCTCTATGTATGATCTCATACTTAAGGACTCACCCAACTGAGAATCAACAATTTTGAGAAACACCAACTCTGTACTTAACATGGAGTTTTTTTCCTTGTAATTATTTACTCTTTCAAAAAATGCAATAATACTATTTACATAACATTTACATTATAATAACAGTTGTAAGTAAATCTAGAGGTGATTGAACTCAGTTAATTCAAGTCACAGGTGGGAAGATCAACTGAACCCAGAGAGGGCTGCATGGCCAGTCTTACTGTTTCTCTCTCTCTCTCTCTCTCTCTCTCTCTCTCTTTCTCTCTCTCTCTCTCTCCCCCCCCTCTCCCCCCCTCTCTCTCTCCCTCTCTCCCCTCTCTTTCTCTCTCCCCCTCTTTTTCCCCTCCCTCTCTCTCATCTGTCTCTCCTTCATACACTCATGTATTATGATTATATGCAAACGCTGCATTTTGTCTTAGAGAACTTGAGCATCTATAGATTTGGTTATGTGCAGTTGGGTCCTAGACCCAACTGCTACACCGACACCAAGGGACTGCTTTATTTTTCTGGGGGTGCATGCAACAATGAGCTTTCTTATTAAGTTATTTTCCCAGTATGCAGATTCAATTCAGACTTAAAACACTGGAACATATGTCTCTCTTCTCTGCCTCACAATGAATTTGGAAAGGAGGAATAACAAAGAAAATAACTGTTAATGTAATTTAGTATTTAGTTGGAAAGACTAATAAAAGAAGCAGACTCCAGAAAATATAACCCAGCATAAAATGTATTATACAAAATTTTAAAGCAAAATGTTCTATATACTGCTGGGTACAGATAAAAATGTTTTTGGTTTTTTGAGACAGGGTTTGTCTGTGTAGCTTTGATGCCTGTCCTGGAACTCTCTGTAAACCAGGCTGGTCTTGAACTCACAGAGATCCTCCTGCCTCTGCTTCCCAAGTGCTGGGGTTAAAGGTGTGTGCCACCACCGCCTGACTTGATAATTTTTTTTTATTGGCTTTTGTTTTAAAGTAAGAAGTATACACCTAGACTAAAAATGAGTCTGCTGGGCAGAGTGTGTATTCCCATGGTCCCAAAACCTGGGAGGGTGAGGCAGGAGGATTACAGCTAAGTCAGCCTAGGCTACACAGCCAAGCCCTTTCTCCACCTTTCTGCTTCTCTCAAAATCACTGAGTGAGTCATGTTTATGCGTGGCCTTAAAGTCTGTCGTCATGTGATGAAGGTGGATGGGGATCGGTGGGAGGTTTACTCGGTCACTATTTTATGATCTTTGAAATTCTCAATTAGTCACCCCATTTTCTTTCCAAAAAGTTTTTATTGGCTGAAGGTTTCTGTAGGCTGAAGGTTTCTGTGCTTGTCCTCCTACCTTCCAGGCACAGCTATTGAAGTGTGACACAAGGCTAGCTGTGTTTTCTAGTTAGGACCATAGAGGCAGACAGTCAAAATAGTAATAAGAAGGTAATGGTAATATAATAATTCAAATATTTGCAAAGTATTTCAATTTCTTAAGAATTGAAATTCTGCAAAATGTATATGTTTATAATAAAACACATGATACTCTACTCGGACTGCATTGTTAAGTTGTTAGCTTACGCTTGTTTCTTTAGTTTTTTGTTTTTTGTTTTTGTCTTATTTTTGTATCATGCTGGTCCTTTGCTTATTTGCGCATTTGCATTTTCTTTCTTTTATGCCTTTCCCTTTTGTTTTAACCCTGCCCCATTTTTTCACATGACAGGAAAAAACCCGATCATATCAGGTACCAAATAGCTTCCTGCCTTCCTCTTCTTATCCAATTTCCTCTGTAGCACGAGAAAGCCTGATTAACCCATGTTCAGTTGGATTACTTGCAATGGATAAAAAAAAATCTCTTTATGCTCTAAATTGGAACAAAAATACAAGTGTTTATTTGAGGAAGAGACCTTTTGGTCGCCCCTGACCTCAGTTGGTTTGATCTGGGGAAGGACGGCTGATGCAAAGTCGATGCAGACCAAGTGGTAGGCACACCCTGTGACATGTTTTTTGACATAAAATAGTGACCTGTGTTTAGGATGGAGCAGCAGCTGGGATGAGAGAGACTCCCTTGCCTGGTCATAGGTGCTCTCTTCTGCTTTATTCCCATGGAAACAGCAAATTGAATTGAATAAATCAGTGCATTAGGCCTTTAATTTATATTAAATGGTTAGCTAGCACCAAAATATGGCCCCATAATTTATATAGTTTTAGTTATAAACCTTCAGATTTAGAACTGTAACTTTTACCAATATTTTTGATGTTGAGAGCAGACATAGTAAAATATATTTGATTTTTATAAATTTATTTTTTCCCATTTGACCTAAAATTGGCCAACTGGAAATTTTTCTTTATATGTAATAGTATTTATTTTTTTAAAAATAGATGTAATATTTTGGTCTAAGTTATACTAAATTACTTTTATTGACACAGATACAAAACGTGTTTTACTTTCTTACACATAAGAGACTAGAAGCCAACTATACTTTGTGCTCTACTTTTTAGTCTTGTAGACTGTGTACTCTGTTAGCACGGTGATTTCTAAAGCTTGTCTCTTCGCTCTAGTTACAATTTATGTAGTGCTTTAAAATTTCCTGTAAGAAGTGCTTTAAATACTAAGTATTTCTCTGTGTGTAGGTAATTCATAGGCTGCGAGCTGTTCATCATACTTTTCCTTTCTTGGAAATATTAATAGTCACTAGTATTATTTTATAGGAACAGCTAAAAACTCTATTCCAGTAGTTGGAAAGAGAACTCAGTCACTAAAGTGCTTGCCTTGCACATAAGAGGACCTGAGTTTGATCTCTCACAACCCCCACACAAATGCCAGGTGTGGTGTCATGTGCACTGAAGAGGGAGAGACAGATAGATCCCTAGGGCTCGACAGCCAGCTGCTCTACCCAATTCGTGAGTATACGAGACCTTGTCTCAAAGGAGTTGGGCAGTGCCCTAAGTATGATCCCCAAGGTTGTCCTCTGGACTCCATGTGCATGTGAATATATGTGCATGCACACTAGAGCACACGCATGCACTCCCCAGGTATACACACATATATGTTTCATTACCTTTAGGCACCTGGTTAAAGTCCTGGTTGGCATTGGATGTGTGTCTCTAATGGTAGCAGAAGCGAGATAGTGTCAGACTAACACATCTTTATAATTCGTTTTTCCCTACCTATGATGTATTATTGTGCTTTCTTTAAGGAAGTAGCAAATGAAGAGAAATTTGTACTGTCTTTTCTAAGTATTTTACAAAATCCAGTGATGGAAAAATGTCACCCAGAAGCAGATGAATATCAGGGAAACTGACCTTCAGAAATACATATGCTCCATAAGGCTAATAACCGGAGGGCATGGTCTCCGATGGAACAGGGGCATCTATCTAGTTATTATTATTAGTATTCCTAGGAAACACTGTCCCAAGATGGACCAGGTCAAAAGACCTCAGAAGCATGAAAAGTTTGCATTTTTATATGGCTGTCTTTCCATTATTTAATAAAAGTGTAGTTTTTCTCAGACTGTGTGAGATAACTACTATGATACATAGCCCATACATATTTATTAATATAGTTCACCCTCCTCAAATGAATTTTATGACAACATTTTAATCAGATTCAGAGATTGTCTCCATTGCATGTCATCCCATGTGGCAGGGTACGCCATTTGGTTTGTGTGTAGGACTTTGATCTAACATTTCTAACCGGCTGCCTGTCCCCACGAGAGCCGTGGAATTCTTCCTTTTCTGGCCTGTTGATTTGCATTCAGCGGCATTCACATTATTTTACTTAGATGCTTATTTAACACAACAAACTCTCTCTCAATGAAAAAGGTGATACGTTTTTAAGTGGCGAGAAAACCCACCCACCCGGTAAAAGGCCTGAGACCCTAGGATGTATTCGGGGCTCCTTCTCAGCTTTGGAGAAATAACTAAAAATTTGAAAATAGAAATTCAAAACACCTGGATATAATTTCTAGCAATTTGTATTATTGTCAATGAAAAGGTAGAATCTCTATCTGCTAATAGATTAATAACTAATGTTTATATTAAAAATCATCTCATAGAAAACTAATTTAAACATAACAACTCAGATATACTGTTCACTTTTCGTGCTTGGTGAGAAGTTTTGCTTCTTTTATGAATGGCTTTTGACTGTGATTTTTTTTATGTATTTATTTTGTTCTTATGTTAATAAACTAGAATTAGTACATATGGCTTACATTACCTACATTCATTTTTCTAAAGAAGAGTGTGAGCAAATTGTTTTCCTAATAACTTAGCAGTAATGAGGAGAGCCATTTAAACAGTTTGGGGGTCATATATATCTGGTAACAGCAATGTAATTCACTGAGAAGTAAGGGCTCTTCTATGGAATAAAGCTAGTGATCATCTTATTTTTGATACAGTCCTAAGTGATTAGTCTCTGTTTTGCTGAGGATCAAACATTTGCTAAATTAGCTTCTAAAAGGTTGAAAATAAAGCACCATTTACCATATATAAATGGACATTTTATTTGTAATTTAAGTTTTCTTTATCATAAAAGTAGATATTTGAAAGAAAAGATAATATTTTAGTACCTCAAAAAAAAAAAAAACCCTGTGAGTTTTTACTTTTAAAATAGTTATGGTCTTAGCAGGAAAAATAAAAGCTTTTGTTATTTGTGACATAAAATGAACCAAAACAGCTATTTATCTCCCTAACCTGTGATTATTTTTAAGATGCTTATTCTTAGTTTTTGGTAGTTATGTCATATGCTTCAGTTTACGAGAACAAAGCAGTGCATTCCCAACACCATCACCCTACACCGCCGGGGAATGACTGAAGGTACGCCATCTTTAATTTGTTTGTCTTTGTCTAGACGCTGGTTCTCCATACAGAACAATCAGTTGGTTTACCAGAAAAAGTTCAAGGTACGTATGTTCTTTATTAAGCAATACAGTGAAAACTGATAAGTTCCGGTTCTAGTTCTTTGTCTGTTTGTCTTGGTGAACACTGAAGTCCATAAATATCCAATTCTGAAATTGCTGTTTATTGGTTTTATGTTTGGGTATTCATAACGAGTGGAGTGGAAGCTGTCAACCCTTGATCCTTAAAAGCAGAGTGATTTGATTCTGAATTTTTTTTGAGAAGAAAAATTTGTTTTCATTTGTGTATACATGTGTGTCTGAGTGCAAGTTTGTGCACGTGACTGCAGAGCCCCCAGAGGCACTGGGTTATTGTCTTAAAGCAGCCCTGGCCAACCTGGAATTCACTGTGGAGGCCAGGCTGGCCCCCAACTCTCAGAGATCTGGCACCCTCTGCCTGCTGGGATTAAAGGTGTGCGCCACGTGACCTGCATTATTTTTATCATTTTTAATTGTGAGTATGTATGTATCTCTGTACGTGTAAATGCAGTTGCTCACTGAGACCAGTGGTGTTTGATCCCCCAGGAGAAGGAATTAGAGGTGGTTGTGGGCTGTCCGATGTGGGTGCTGAGAACCCAATTCTGGTCCCCTGTGAGCAGTAAGCAGTCTTAATGGCTGAGCCCTTTTTTTAGTCCTGCGGTTATGAATTCTTCTTTTTTAATCAGCATTTTCCTTTTTGCTTCTTTGCCTGTGTATGGGTATTTTGCCTGTAAGTATGTCTCTGTACCATGTATACAGTGCCCAAAAAGGCCAGATAAGGGCATCAAATCCCCTGGAACTGGAGTTACAGATGTTGGGAATTGAACTTGGGTCCTCTGGAAGAGCAGCCAGTGCTGTCAACTGCTGAAACATCTTTCTACCCCTTTCTATAAGGATTTTATTTTTATTCTTAGTTATGATGTGGATATGTACACTTGAGTGCAGTGCCTGTGGAGGTCAGAAGAGGGCACCACACCTCCTGGAATTGGCATTGCTCACAGGTAGCTGTGAGCTGCCTGACCCTGACCCTGTCCTCCACGAGAGCAGTGTACACTCTTAACCACTGTGCCGTCTCTCCAGCTCCAATTCAGATTTTTTTTTTCGGTTTTTCGAGACAGGGTTTCTCTGTAGCTTTGGAGCCTGTCCTGGAACTAGCTCTTGTAGACCAGGCTGGCCTCGAACTCACAAAGATCTGCCTGTCTCTGCCTATCGAGTGCTGGGATTAAAGGTGTGCGCCACCACTGCCCGGCCGGAAATTTTAATTCCTAGTTTTAAGGTGTTTTGTGTCCCAAGATTATTACCTTCATCTTATAAGTCCTTCTGTTAGTTACGTGGCAGGAGTAACCCTGACATCCCCTGGTACCATTTTGAGGCTGTAGACGGTTTGTCTTTTAGAACACGTTATCTTAGGACCAATGGTGACCACATAGAGTGCTTTAAAATGACAGAAGTCAAAGTGTATGCCGTCAGTAATGTAGACAGGAACCCTGTCTTTGTTACCACTGTGTTTATGTGTTTTCTTGACCTCATTTCAAGCAAGGAATTTCATGTGTTGGAAAGGTGTACTGGGAAGGCTTGTGAGAATGCTAGACCCTGGAAAGAAAACCATTTGTTAATTGATAGTGTGCTTCTCACTTAGCCCTTGAATGACAGTCTGTGAACCATAAACATCTGATAATCCCCTTTGCTGTGAGATGGCCGCACTAATCACAGGCTCTTGTGGACTTTGTGGTTAATTCATTGGTGCTTTCTCCTGATATTTTGCACTGGTATTTTAATTAGGGAATGACAAAATCTTTTCTCTTTCTTGTAAGAATTTTAAGAAGAATTTACCAATTTCTCGTTGTTTCTCATTGGGCTATTTAAAACATGATTCGTTACCGCTTTCTCTTTGGGGGAGAACGTAGCTCTTCTGTATGTGAGTGGGAACCCAAAGAGTAATGGACATCAGTGGGATGGAAGAGGGCCAACAAGGAGATAATTTTTTGAGTATTCGTTAAGTGCCAATTGTGTGTCAATCCTTTCTCTAAATGATTGCACTTACTTTACATAAAGTAGTTGGATGAGGCAGATTAAATGAACAATATATGATTGCCTCCATTAGTTCTATATCTTCATAACGACACTATGATAAAATAGAGACCTTCTAAATGAGGCCGGATTTTGGAGTGTATTTGGAGTTTATTGTTGCTGTAGTGCTGGGAGCTAGGCTGATGAACTGAGCTTGCCTCCTTGCTGTAGGACAGCCCCACGGTGGTGGTGGAGGACCTCAGGCTGTGCACGGTGAAGCACTGCGAAGACATAGAGCGGCGGTTCTGCTTCGAGGTGGTCTCTCCAACAAAGTAAGACGTTCGCTACAATTTGAGAATTGTTTTTGTGTTTATGTAGTTTGTCTGAAAGACTTTACCAGATCTGAGAACTCTGATTTATGATTATCAGTGTAACAAAAGAACTAATGTTTTAAAAATGAATTCCATTAGCAATTGTAGATGTTCTGTCCAAGTACTTATGTAATTTCTCTCCATGTATCCCAGTCTTTCGAATCTGTAGAGATTGCTGTTTATTTACTTAGTGGGGCTGTGAGCATGTTAGGCAAGCACCCACTACTGAGCTCTGTCCTTCCTGTAAATATGTTTATGTGAAAACCTGGTAGATAGTGAGAATTGAACTCAGAGCCTTGAAGTTGTCATTCTCCTGTCTCAGCACCAAACCTAGTCCACGTGAAAACTTTTTAGATATTATGTTAAATTGAAAGTGTGTGACTTTGAATTTCATTTTGCACCACACTTAAAAAAGAAGCAGTGTTCTGCTTACATGGTGGAGAGAAAGGGAGGTAAAGGATATGAGAGAATACACACACACAAACACCACACAGACACACACACACACCGCACATGCATACCATACAGACACAGACACACAACACATCACACACATCACATCACACACACACTACATACACACTACATGCACCCACCACACACACATACTACATAGACACACACACAGAGATATACCACAGACATACACACCCCTCACACACGAATCACATACCACACAGACACACAAGGTACACACACACAACTCAGGCACACACCACAGACATACACACACAGCACACCATACACACCACACAAACACCCACAGACACATACCACACCTCCACACCCCCACATAACACACCACACAGACACACACATACCACACAGGCACACACAGCACATCACACACATAGACACAAAGTACATCACACGCACAGACACACACATAGCACATAGACACACACAGATACACACACACACACACGGTTCACAGACTTAGAGTCAGGCAAAATACTAATGCACATTTTTAAAATGTACTTAATAGCATAGTGAGGAAGAATAAAGTGTATGGATTTTTTTTCCCTCCTGACTTACTGTCTGAGAAAATGATGTTCTTTCCTTGTAGAAGTTGTATGCTCCAGGCAGATTCTGAAAAGCTTCGCCAGGCCTGGATTAAGGCTGTTCAGACCAGCATTGCCACTGCGTACAGAGAGAAGGGCGATGAATCAGAGGTTAGTAGAGGTGTCGTCGGTATTGTGAGACCTACTGCTAAATGTTTTCAGTGATTCTCCTTCCCTCAGCAGCCATCACCTGTTTGTAGCTCCTCTGGTAGGGGCGGGACCTCGTGGTCTCAGCCATCACCCATGCGAGAATTCTGACTGGCTTGACCTTGTATAGATCTTCTGCAGGTAACCAGAGTTGCCAAGAGTTGATGCAGTCAGCAACCATGCCCTGTCCAAATATGAGCATGTCGCAGCTCTCCTCCCTGTCTGCCAGCTATTCTATGGTCTCTGCCGTTGCTTCTTCCCTGAGCCTTGGATGGTGAGCAGCTGAGAGATGGGGCACCCACAGCTGAACACTCCGAGTTATTTATAATTTGGCGCTTTGATCAGTTATGAGTCTCTGCACTAGCCACTACTCCCTGCCAAAAGAAACTTACCTGACCAAATTGAGAGTAGCACCAAGACCTTGGTAGCGACATAGCATTTAGAGTACAGTTTGACAGTCCGACTGTTTGGTAGAACAATAAGGATAGATCCCCCCCCCCCCCCCCCCCGTGGCCTATGATCTCTGCAGTCATAGGCTTTCGATGAGGTATACAGTATGAGGCATGATATCCCTTTTGCAAAGCAGGTCTCAGATTCACACAGAAAGCAGTTGGTTGACCTGTAATCATTGTGCCATTACTGTACCCGTGGGTGCATCTTTCTAGCAAGTCGGTGTCATTAGCTTGCATGTTCCAGTGCCGGTTAAAGCTGTTGATGTCTCTTCTCTCCCCAGCAGCTTCTGGCACTGCGTAAGGCAGGCAGGCAGCAAGGAGAGAGTTTCCTGATCAGTTTGAGGTTGATCTCTCTGTGTCCCGCCTCCGAAGTGAGTGGTGACTTCAGCTATAGGCTCTTCCTATCTAGTTACTGTGGGCAAAAAGAGCAGTGGCCGCAGCCTGTGATATTTGGGGTGCCTCTGAGCCTCCCTAACCAATACTCTTCGGAAAGTATCCTCGGTCATAAATTAAAACAATTTTTTTCTTAGGCAATCCTGTAGACAGCTAGATGAACTGTTCTGTAGGTTTTCCTTGGCTCTCCTGTAATGTATCAATGATTAAAAGTTAAGCCTACACATTGAACACCTAGTTAAGATTTTGTTGAGTAGAAAAGACTCTCCTAAGTTTGGACTATGTGCTGAGCAACTGCCACACGAGCATCTTTTTCCTAGAGAAAGTTCACTGGTGTCTCCCACATGCAGTGGGAGCTGGCAGGGCAGATATGGGTGATGGGCATCCATCTCAGTACTGTGTGCACGTTCACTTTGTCTCCCACCTTTGATCTCTCCCCTGAACCCCATCTGAGACTCGGATTTACTCCTCTAGAGAAATGCTTTCCATTCATTTGTACTTATGTGCAGAGAAGTCCCTTACTGGCCTGGGGTTAGGGAGAGAACCCTGGGCTACAACTCCTTCCTGACCAATGACGCCTTCATTAGCTCTCAGCATCTCTAGTTGGGAGCAAAAACATTAGCATATCAAGGAAAATTGGGAATGAACCCATGTGATTTCTGATACCTTTTCCACTGATAATTCTGTTTGTTAACTTTACATTTCAGACATCTGATAAGCCAGATCTATTTTGAAAAATTTCGAAATCTCAAATGCCCTTAGAATTTCAGTACAAGTTAAGTTCTTCCCCTTGAACCGCTTGAGAGTGAGTTGCTAGCAGGCTGCCTCATCTCCAGCTCCTACTTTATTAACCCATTCCCCTAGCCTAGGACAAGATGTCCTGCATAATCATGGTACAGACATAAGCATGGAGATACGAGCCTTGATATGTGACACTCATTTGATCCCCAAATGCTTTTGTGTTTAGAAAGCAAAACGATAAAGTTAGTGGCCATGTTGTTCTCAGTCAGGAGTAGTTAGGAGTTCGGGTTAACCTGACCTTTGACCTTGAAAGTTTTGAATTTAAGGCTAGCTATTCAGCTAAGTTTTACATATTTGGCAAGACCGTTGTGTGTAAACACTGTGTTCTCAGGCCATCCTTTCAGGTGGCACATGGTTTTACTTGCTCCATTTTTCCAGTGTAAGGCACTCTTATAACCTTTGGGTAGTAAATGTTTTGTGGGGGGAGTACTTTGAAATTGTGTAAATATTCTGTTTCTTGCTCAGTTGAGTTTTAATCTATGACTAGTTTTTAACTGTGTTCCTGTTTGCTTTTATTCTATTTAATGTGCCACAATCCATTCCTTTCATTATTTGTTTGTGTGTCTCAGATTGACTCACGTCTGTAATGTGCACGCATCCTTCTGATCCTGTGTAGGACCCGGAGCCTGCATAAGGCTGTGCTCTTTAAGTGGATATTGACCTTATTCTCTGAAGACAGTAGGAGTTCCACGTCCCTGCGCTTGCCCTGTTTGCTCAGCCCTTCCTAATTCTGTGTGTTTTCAGAAAGACAAACAAGAACCAAATTCTATTTCCAGTGCTTCTGGGCTAACACACTGGCTCGTCTAGGGCAGACAGTTTTTCAGCATGAAGACTTTATATCTTGAATTGCTTATGATCAAGAGCCGCATCTTTGGATTTGGTTGATTTTTGCTGCCTCTTAGCTAATGCTTATTAAATACTCTATTATTGGTGTGACCTTGCACTTAAACAATTATCTTTTTGTATATCATATTTTGTTTTTGGCTCATTCTGAAGGTGATATATTTTCTAGCATGTCACTGTGTCATAGCATAGTTTTTCCAGTGATTAACTGTAGTAGTTGAAATATCTTACTTATAGTTAACACCTTTGGGGAACGTGGCTTGAAATACTTTATTCTTTTTGCTTGCTTTCTTCTTTCAGAAGGGTCTTCCAGTGTAGCTCAGGCTGTCTGAGCTTGTGCTCCTCCTGCCTCAGCCTCCCAAGTGCTGGATTTTACCTTATTATCGAGACTTAATAACATTATGCCTCCCACTATGTCTCTCCCTTTCTGTCCTTGTTTCTTGTTCATATGTTCAGTGACAGTCATCACGTAATTGTTAATGTGTATATTTCCCCTTCATTGATGGAGCCTAGTCATAAGAACCTCAGGTTTTCCGTTCTTTAATCTCCATTGCGGAGAATAATGCCTATCCAAATAGATGTTTAATTTATGGCCTAGAAGCTTTTGCTTGTAGTATATAACATGTAGTGTGTTCCTACAGTCCTTTACAAAAAGTATTAAAACTACCAAATAATTCTTAATTCTTTTAGAAGCTGGATAAGAAATCATCTCCATCAACGGGAAGCCTAGATTCTGGAAATGAGTCAAAAGAGAAATTATTGAAAGGAGAGAGCGCCCTGCAGCGTGTGCAGTGCATCCCTGGCAACACCAGCTGTTGTGACTGTGGGCTGGCAGACCCACGGTGGGCCAGCATCAACTTGGGCATTACCTTGTGCATCGAGTGCTCTGGGATTCATCGGTGGGTGTGCTCACTCAGAGTGGGAGCCTTCCTTTGGGTTAGATGCGTGTTGTAAATTACTGTGTGTTCTTGTTAGTGGGTCTTTCCAGATTAACAGTGTATATTTATGCATTTTATAAAGTGGATAATTTTAGTTTTGTAAAGTGTTTAGAAAACTTTGATTCATCATTTTGTTATTAACCAGAGGGTCCATCCATATTTATATGTGGGAGCCAAATGTGTGTGTGTAAATATGCAAATAGTGACTTGATAACTTTTTATTAAAAGTAATGCAATCTTTCTTTCTCCATGTAGGAGTCTTGGGGTTCATTTTTCGAAAGTACGGTCTTTAACGTTAGACACTTGGGAGCCTGAGCTTTTAAAGGTGAGATATATATTTGCATGGAAATGTTTCACAGGCAATTGTAAATTTCCTCTAGCTGAGACGAACTAGCACATTGGGGAAGTTAAGACTGAAGCAGAGAAGTAGATGGACCAGGAGAAAGCAAGTGTAAGAAGTTAGAGCATTCAACAAGGAGTTAGGAGGTGTCTGGTGATAGAACTCAGGTACAGGGTGAGTCCGTCAATTATTTCAGCAAGCTCTGTGCTTGGTGGGTTTTTAGTATTTCTATAAAGTGGGAGTGAGGGCATTGTTTAAGAAGATTTATTTATTTTATGTATGAGTGCTCTATCTTCATGTATGCTTTTGTGCCAGAAGAGGGCCTCAGACCCCACCATAGATGGTTGTGAGCCACATGTGGTTGTTGGGAATTGAACTCGAGACCTCTGGAAGAGCAGCCAGTGCTCTTAACCTCTGAGCCATCTCTCTAGCTCCATAAGGGACATTTTAAAAAAGATGTCTAATTTTAATTTTCTGTTTTTGAATTGGCCGTACTTGCTGTCCTAACTGCATTGATATTTAATTGTTAAACTTCTTGCCCAACCATGGGCCTAGGCACAGTCAGGAGTTTGATATATAGATAGACGTGATAGATATGACTTTTGTTTAGAAGTTTATTGTTATTGTTATGTGTCTGAGCCTGAATATGGATATATGCACTAAGTACAGGTGCCTGCAGGGGGTGAAGGGTCAGATCCCTTACAGTTGATGTGAGTGCTGAGACCTGAGCTTGGGTCCTCTGCAAGAGCAGTGCAAGCCCTTTAATCACTGAGCTATCTGTCAAGTCCTGATTTTAAATACTGCTATATATGTAATACATCTGGATGGATGGATGGATGGATGGGTGGATGGGTGGATGGGTATGGGTGGATGGGTGGGTGGGTGGGTGGGTGGGTGGATAGATGGTTTCTGTTGGGTACCTGTTATAGGAGTAATAATGTTCTGATAAAGAATAGCAAATGGGTAATTATATCATTCTTTGGCCCATTTTAACTTTAAATTTTCTTTGTGGAATGAACAATTACAATATATAAAGAGGAATTAGTTAATTGTACCCATCTTAAGGACTTTTGAAGTTTAGCTTAATTTTAGGACTTTTAATTTATTCCTTGCTTGTTTGTTTTCCTGCCAAATAGCTTATGTGTGAATTGGGGAATGATGTTATAAATCGTGTTTATGAAGCCAAGCTGGAAAAGATGGGAATAAAGAAACCACAGCCGGGACAGAGGTATGGTCGTCTTAATGTGCTGCTCTCCTCCCTAGCCACAAATACGCTGCCACTTTATTCTAGCACGGCTGACACAGGACATGGTGGTGCGGTGTTTAGAAGCCATCATCTCTTGTGTTTAAATGTGATCCGTCAGACCCTTGCATCTTACTGTAGGTGTGTTCATTAGACCGCTACACCTTCCTGGGCTGCCAATCATTTGTAGTCAAATGTAATCATCTTTAGATGACATGGAATTGTTAAGAAAAATTTAAAAAAAAAATCTCTACATAGAAATGTAAAAGCTTTTTGCAGTTAAAGACGTCCCAAGTTCTGTTAGTGGTGGGCATTTGGAGGAGACGTGGCTCAATCTCAAGTATGTCTGGTTCCTTCGCACCTGTGTTACAAGCAAGGCGTGGTAGTATTTGCTCGTAATCCCAGTGCTGGGAAGTCAGAGACAGGGGATCCCTTGGGCTTGCTGGCTAGCCCGTCTCAATGGTCTAGTAAATTCCAAGTTAGGCAGAAGACTGTGTCTCAAAGAATAAGGTAGAGAGTGATTGAAGGAGACACCTGACGTTGACCTCTGGGCTCACGTGTCTGTGTATGCACATGAGCACACACACATGTGCATACATAAACATGTACGCATACCACACATACACAAATAATCTGTTGGTTAATGTCTCATAGCTCGAGTTTCTACTCTCTGCTCTGAAGCATTTGGCATGATCTGACTTAGTTCAGCAAGTGTTGATCTCACAGCCGAGTGGTGTTGTGGGGCTTTGGAATCAAAGGTGAAAGGCAGTTTGGTTGTACAATTGGACTTCCAGTTCTGCAGGCAGAAATCCCCTGAAGGAAGCTGCTAGAATCAGGGCCTTTGGAACACGTAGTCCTTGTGGTTGACACCAGGTTTTGTCAGTAAGATCTTTATTTTTTCGGATTAAAATTGCATTTTTCCATAATCCTATGTTGAGATTGGAACTAAGCCAGTGTGTTTTAAATCACTTTTAATATTTGCCATATGATAGCGTGACCTTGGACTCTACTATTTTAACCAAAGACCTAAGCATTTTTAAATTAAAGAAGAAAAAATATAGAACAGGCATATTTCATGGTTATATTACCAAGCTAAGAGAAATGACATTTTCCCACTGTAAATCTGGAATGCTGTATTGTTTTATTACAGTTATTATATGAAAAGTTATGACCATCAGTAGTGATTATTCAGGATATGACAGTATCTCTAATAAATGTTAATTTCTAGATATTTTTTAGTTTTCCGGCAGTGTTTCTAATGTAAACCACAAGAGAGTGTGTATACAAATACATCACACAGAAATTAGGAGAATCATGGCATACTGTGGATCTGTGAGTTTTCAGTGGGTCATTTGTATTTCATCTGTCTGTGAAACTTGCTTCTTATTTAGAAGAAAAACACGTTACATGTTAACTGTTACAGATTCACTTAAAAACATCTTAGAAGAGGGTGTCAGGTTCCCGGGAGTAGTTACAGGTGGTTGTGAGTGCGTGGGAAGCAACTCAGGTCCTCTGGAGCAGCAAATGCCCGTCACTGCTGAGCCCCCACTGACTTCACTTACGATCAGATTCAGTATCTAGTGGCATTCGTTCAGTGTTAGCCATGCTAAGGGGCTAAACAGAACATCATGGCGTTTTTCTGTTTACCAGACAGGAGAAAGAGGCATATATCAGAGCAAAATATGTGGAGAGGAAATTTGTGGATAAATACTCCATGATATCATCGCCTTCTGAGCAGGAGAAAAGGATTATTTCCAAAAGCTGCGAGGAACAGAGGCTGAGCCAAGTCAGGGCGTCTGTCCACACCGCAGGTATTTACCTTGGATATTTTCTTGAGCTGAAGCCACTTTTTAAATCTCACAATTATGGCCATTGTAGGGTTTGCTTTTGTTTCCTAAATACTAGAAGCCTGTTTCCTTGTATACATTCTAAAGGAAAACGGGACTTCTGTGTCTTGAAGACAGCAAAACTGAGATAGTCCCATGGTTCACGTTCCTAGGTTCAGTCTATATTCTATGAAGTCCAACAGCTTAATCGCAAGGGGGAGATGGGATTGTCGATCGATTATGCCGGAAGCCCCGAGTATCTGATTAAACACCTGATTTCCTCCTATGTTCCCCCTACACTTGCCCAGTAACGGTTTTTCCTGCCCCTCCTTCTTACGGCCTGCTTTGTGCTTTGCTAACTTGCATGTCCCCAGTGGCTGCTGTAAATAGCGACGAGGCCAGGCGGGAGTCTCTGTTCTGTCCTGATGAGCTAGACTCACTCTTCTCCTACTTTGATACTTCTTCAAAACTGCGTAGTAGTAAGTACTGTCGTGGAGCATTCCAAGTCTGTGCCGGTGGTCATTGTGCGGTGTGGCCATTTCTCTAGATGTCGCCCATTGTCTCAGGATTACACGTTACCACAGTCATACCGTAAACTAAGCTCTTAGCTGCTCCCAGCATTTGTGGGGTAATGAGATACGCTAGAACTCTGAAAATAAGTTTATTTTCAAGCGTTGTGATTGATTTACGATCCAATAAGCTAAGTTACGAAAGGATTAAAGTTGCAGTAAGTTTATTATGCTGGTGGTGGCCAAGTTCATGTTTCCATGTGCCAGCTCATTTTACGGTCTTGTTGGCTGTGGGAGTCTGCTTTCCAAGGGGTGTGAGCTTTCATCACTAGCCTTTTTTTTCCCCCTGACACAGTCAAAAGTAACGACAGTGGGATCCAGCAAGGCTCGGATGACGGACGAGAATCTTTACCTTCCACCGTGTCAGCCAATAGCCTGTATGAGCCTGGTGAGTTTTCATGAGCCAGTGTTGATTGGTGTAGTCGGTTGGTCAATGCACGTGGCAAACGCCCGTCCTCGTGTGGGTGTGTTTGCGTGTGTGTGTTCACGTGAGGGCCACAGGTTAGTGCCTGGTGTTTTCTCAGAGTCTGCCCACCTTCCTGTTGGGCACGGGAGGACGTAAACTTGATGTGTTAGAAGGTGAAGCATGTGCAAGTGTTGTGTGCCCACAGGAGCGCTGATGTTTTTGTGTCCTTCGTCTCTGTAACTGGCTGTTCCTGTCCTGTTACAGTCTCAGTCCCCAGACACCATTTTGGTTCCTGTCATGATTGCAGAAGGTGGCATTTTTCTAGTTTAGGGAAATGGGATCTTACAGTATGTAATCTTTTTGTTGTTTTTTTTTTTTTAAATTTTTGTTCAGCATATTTATTCCAAAAATAACTATGCCATTATTCTTATCAATTGCTCATTTCTTTTGTATTTTTATTGTGTTTTCACAAACTTATACTAGATGATTTAAATTAGTAAAAATTTTGAAATATTAATGGCATTAGGCTCAACATAAGAATGAAACTTCATGGAAGTAGTTAAATGTGTCGAAATGTCAAAGCCAGACTTCCACATCTTCTGCAGCACTACTAATTGAGACAGTGTATCAGGACCTAAACTTCACAGCAGGAATTACAGATTGCTTAAATGCATAAAAATGGAGTGTTGAGCTGGTGCCACGGGCAAAGGTACCTGCTGCTGTCCTCTCGACCTGAGGTCAAGCCAGAGATCCACTTGGTGGAAGGAGAGAACCGACCCCCAGAAGTTGCATGATGACCTCTTCCACACGCACACCTACCTACCCCCAAAATAAAAATTTTAATATAATAACTATCAACCATGACTTTAGATTTTAAATAGAATATAGATAGCATTTACTTTGATTTAACTATAGAGCAATTTTCTGCTGAGAGTTCTTCCCCTTGTCCCGGACCACTCTTAGACTTCACGGCATCTGCCTTTTCTTGCTAATGAAGGTATTTCCATATGAACTATTAGGAACTAAGATTTTTTTCCATATAGCAGAGAACATGGGTATTTGCCTTTCCCAGTCTGGGTTATTTTAATATGTTTTCTAATTCCATCTGTTTTTTTTTATTTTTTTTATTTTTTATTTTCGAGACAGGGTTTCTCTGTAGTTTTTGGTGCCTGTCCTGGAACTAGCTTTTGTAGACCAGGCTGGCCTCGAACTCACAAAGATCCTCCTGCCTCTGCCTCCCAAGTGCTGGGATTAAAGGCGTGCGCCACCACCGCCCGGCTTCCATCTGTTTTTCTACTTTTGTTTTTGGGACAGGGTCTCTCACTGAATCTGGAGCTCAGTGATTTGGCAGTGAGCTCAAGGGATCTGTCTGTCTTTGGCCCCAGCGTTAGTATTGCATGTGCCAGCCTCTACTGGCTTTTTACCTGGGTTCTGGGGACCTGGACTCAGGTCTTTTCTTATCTGGCAAACATTTCACCCAGTGGCCATCTCTCTGCTGCTCTAAATGTTAATTCCTGATTAGATCATTTCTCAGGTGGGTGGTTAATCCTTTTAGAAGGAACTAATGGTAAAGCAGTCTTGTTTAAGGAAAAAGCCATCTTTTCTCTTCATTTTTGGAATTTTTGGAACCTTTCCCCTAGGTAGACATTCATCCAAACGTCATGGTGTATGCTGTATGCTAGGACTTTTAATCTGCACTAATCCTGTCTGCTTCGTCACTGTCTTCTCCTGTGGCTGCTTTTATACCAGCTTCCCCCTCCCCTTCGGGTTTTCTTCTCATCACTCATTCCCTGATGCTTCCTTCTGTGATGTCAGTGTGTCTTACAGGAGTCTCTGGGGAAGTAAGCATTCTTTGACGCATTTGAGTCGGTTATAGTGTAAATTGTAATGATATTACATCACCTTAGGAACTAAAACTAAACTTTAGGAGTCCCTGCTTTTTGGAAGATAGCAAGTTTTAACGGTGACTAACTTATTCTCCGGATACTGGCAAGGCCACCAAAGCCTAGAATACCAACTGATGTCATTCCACGAGAAGGTTGAATGTTTAGGGAATGAGTAGTCCGTAAGAAATAATATCTGGGTGAAAATCGCTCATCTGCTCATTGGGATAGATGAGTAATCTTCTGTCACAGTGTTTACATTGTGAGTTGAAGAGTTCACTTTCAAAATTGGAGTAAAATTACATACTGTAAAGATACCCTATCCACTTATCTGTCCTGAAGTTATCTATCCTAACCATTTTTATTTAAATATACAGCTTACTAGCCTTAAATTCATCTTCTCTTTGCTGTTACTGTTATTTGCCCAGTAGAGCTCTTTTCTTCTCGCAGATTCTTTCTGTTGTTGCTGAACAATTTGTCTCCTGTGCTAAGAGCACATTCTTATTAATGCATTTGTGCTTTGCTTTCCAGAAGGAGAAAGACAAGAGTCTTCTGTGTTTCTTGACTCTAAACATCTTAATCCAGGACTTCAGCTTTATAGGGCTTCATACGAGAAAAACCTTCCCAAAATGGCTGAGGCTTTGGCTCATGGTGCAGATGTGAACTGGGCTAATTCAGATGAGAACCAAGCAACGGCACTCATCCAGGCTGTACTAGGGGTATGAACTAACGCATTCAAGCTGTACTAGGGATATGAATCAATGTATCTAGGCTGTACTAGGGGTATGAACTGATGCATTCGAGCTGTACTAGGGATACAAATCAATGCATCCAGGCTGTATTAGGGGTATGAACTGATGCATTCAGGCTATGTTAGGGATGTGACTTAATGCATTCAGGTTGTACTAAGGGTATGAATTAATGCGTTCAGGCTATATTGGGGATGTGAATTAATACATTCAAGCTGTATTAGGGCCATGAATTAATATATTCAGGCTGTATTAGGGCTATGAATTAATGCATTCAGGCTGTACTAGGGATGTGAATTAATGCATTCAAGCTGTATCATGTGTGAATGCATTGAGGTTTTCATTGATCTGGTAAAATATCATAAATTCTAAACAAAGCAGTGTTATTGTTACTATTCTAAGAAGGTTAGGAAGTAAAGAATTCTCTCACTAGTCATTTCTGAGTGTCACCTGGTGGTTTCTGATTTTGGGGAGGCACATCCGGAAGAGAATTCTGATCATGAAAAGGGAGTGTGTGTTGATGGACTTCAGTCTGTAAACAATTCTGTGTTATTGGAAAAAGAAAATATAATATTTCTCTGCTACTTGCATACAGATGTGCCCTTTCTCATTTGCATTTATACATTGTCATCTTCTTCTCTTGAAGGGCTCTTTGGTGACATGTGAGTTCCTCTTACAGAATGGTGCTAATGTAAACCAAAGAGACGTCCAGGGGCGGGGACCACTGCACCACGCCACTGTCTTAGGACACACAGGGTAAGTGACTGTGCCGAAATATGTAGGTAGTTTTTATCTGAAAAATACTTTGAGATAATGTTATTTTTTTTGGGGGGGGGGGGTTAAAAATATTATGTAGAATTTGTAAAAGAGGGCAAAAATAAAAGATTCTCATTCATTAGAAAAGCCATGATCGGTGTTCTACCTTGCTTTCTGTCGCTGGGATAAACAGCCTGACCAACAGGAACTTGTGTGAGGAAAGGGCTTATTTGGCTTACACTTCATGTCACACCTCATGAGTGAGGGAAACCAGGGAAGGAACTTGAATGTGGAGGCAGGAACTGAAGCAGAGACCACAGAGGAACACTGCTTACTAGCTTGCTCAGCTTGCTTTTTTTAAAAAAAATTATTTTAAAACTTTTTATTTCTTATATTATGTGTGTACATCTGTGTGTGGGTATATGCATGAGCGCAGTGCCCAAGGAGGCCAAAAGTATCACGTCCCCTTGGCTCTGGAGTATAAACGGTCTGATGTGGGTGCTTGGAATTGAACTCAAGTGTTCTATGCAAGAACAATGTGTGCTCTTAATTGACAAGCTGCATCTTCAGCCCTCAGCTTGCTTTCTTAGGCAGTCCAGGCCTAACTGCCTATGGATAGCGTCATCCACTGTGGGCCGGGCCTTCTGCATCAATAAACAATCAAGGCAGGTCCCACAGACTAGCCCACAGAGGAGTCTGACAGGGGCAACTTTTCAACCAAAGTTCCCTCTTTTCAGAAGACTCTAGTTTGTGTCAACTTGACACTAAAAACTAACCAATATAAATAGTGTACAGATATAAACTAACCAGTATAACTAGTGTGCAGATATAAACTAACCAGTATAGATAGTGTGCGGATATAAACTAACCAGTATAACTAGTGTGCGGATATAAACTAACCAGTATAGCTAGTGTGCAGATAGAAACTAACCAGTATAACTAGTGTGCGGATATAAACTAACCAGTATAGCTAGTGTGCAGATATAAACTAACCAGTATAACTATTGTACAGATACAAACTAATCAGTATAGTTAGTGTGCAGATATAATCTAGCAGTATAACTAGTGTACAGATATAAACTAACAAGTATAACTAGTATACAGACATAAACTCACCAGAATAGCTAGTATACATACAGTGTAGCTAGTGTTAGATATAAACTAACCAGTATAAATAATGTACAGATATAAAGTAACTAGTATAGCTAGTGTACAGATATAAAATATAATACTCACTTTAATCTTGGCATGTCAATAAATTGACCAGTTTTCTCCCTGGCTTCCTCTATTACTGAAGTTTATGCTATTTATATGCATTTATACATACATTCTCTACCCATCCTAATTTTGGGAGAACTTATAACTTTGGAAATTTCTAGGTTTTCCTTAAGGTGCTTAGTCCCGGCATTAACTGAGTTCTTTATTAAGATAACTGACGTTGAGGCCGTAAATGATATATTTGGAACAGTAATGCCATGACAGTGGACTTCCTGTTAGAAGGTGCCTATGAAGCGAGATGTACGAGTCATTTTAAATAAGATCTCAGAGTTTCCATTTATTCCTGGATAAGCTTGAAGCTGATTTTATTTATTTATTTATTTATTTATTTTTTTTCGAGACAGGGTTTCTCTGTGGCTTTGGAGCCTCTCCTGGAACTAGCTCTGTAGACCAGGCTGGTCTCGAACTCACAGAGATCCGCCTACCTCTGCCTCCCGAGTGCTGGGATTAAAGGCGTGCGCCACCACCGCCCGGCTTGAAGCTGATTTTAATAATAGTTAATGGCATATTTTAGTTCATTATCACTTGTTGTCTTTATCAGCAGATAATCAGTTTAGTAACTTAATCATGAAAGCTTCTCTATGGTAAAACACAGTAGTATTTGCTTCATCTTTTATAGTTGCCTAAATTGTGTTAGTTTTTCTCATTTATTTCACAGACCCCATTTACTCATTCTTTCATATATTTTTAAAAATGTGATATCTTCAAGTTAAGAATATTTGTGTAGCATAATGGGAGGATTGCTGCCTACTTTCTTCTATTGTAGCGTGATTATTATAGTGTTTACATTGTCTTAGTTTCCTCTATCCGGAGCCTCCTGTTGTCAGTATCTCTGTGTAGTTTTTAAAGATACTTGTTGAGGACAGAGTTGTGATTATATGTCCCACTTTGTTATAGAGCACCAGATTATCTAAGATAATGAAGATTATTTGGGACTTGTAAAGATCTCAGTTGGCTTCTATTATTGAAGTTTATTCATTGACGATGGTAGAATGCATTAAGAATTTTCTAATAAAATGTTATTTAAGTTAGGTAGAACTTTTTATTTTGAAGGTGAATATGGAAATTTTTCATCTTGGCACTGTCTGAAAAATGCTGTTCCCTTAAACAGGCAGGTGTGTTTATTCCTAAAGCGAGGTGCCAATCAACACGCCACTGATGAAGAGGGGAAGGACCCTTTGAGCATAGCTGTGGAAGCAGCCAATGCTGACATAGTAACCTTGTAAGTGTTTCCTGTGTACTTATTTCCTGTGCTATATGTTGTTTGTACAAATAGTCCTGGCTGTCCTGGAACTTGCTATGTAGACCAGGCTGGCCTTGAACTTGCAGAGATCTTATTCCCTCTGCCTCCCAAGTGCTGGGATTAAAGGTATATACCATCATGGCCAGTCTGTAGGAGATTTAAACTCAGTGTTTTATCTGTGCCATTCCTTTACGGATACTGGATCTGGCAAGCGCTTTAAAACGCACAGGTTCATTTGTCCTTCACAACTCTGTGAGGACTCTATTCTTTATTATCCCACTTTATTGGTAAAGAAGCTAAGCCTCAGATGATTTGAAAAATTAATAAATGTTAGATCTAGGACTTCACTTCTGAATTTCTACTCTAATGCCTGGACTCGTGGCCACTTTTGCTGTACTGCCACAGCAGTAGAAACATAAGCCATGGCTACCCAAATGCTCTTCCCTGTTAGTACAGCAGGAGGCCTGGGGTGGGGTAGGTGGAGCTATGGGTAGTTTTAGTCTACTCGCTGAGGGGGAGAGGCTTATCATGGAGCTGGAGGGAAGCAGCCATTTAAATGCATGTTCATATGGACAGACACAAATAGATGGTTTTGAATGTTGTGTTTCCTGTGGTGTTCAGTAGGTTTGCATGTTAGGTCAAAGCAGTGTGCTATGCTTAGAACCTAGAAGTGTGATGTCGTCAGCCATGCTTCATTTCCTGAAACTAACGGAAACAGTCATGTGATTATTCCAGTCTGGGCTAATGGAAGCTGAGACTTGGTGATCCCTCTCCTCTTGAGCAGAAACATGCCTAGTCATGACGCCCTCAGTTCAGAGAAGCCTCGTGGCTGCCTTGAGCTCATGCTCCCAGCCTCCCATGGCACAGGCCACGGAGGAGTTGCTATTTCTGTGAAGGCCGCCGTCAGTCAGCAGTCAAGAAAATAACCCTACAAACATGATGCCCCCGACCAGTCTGATCCAGACAGTCCCAAGTTCAGGACTCTCCCAGATGACTCAGTGTCAAGTTGACAACTGAAGCCAGCTAGGAAGGCTCCCCTTTCAGAGAATCCACATTGCAAGGGGATGCTTAGGAGCCTGTCTGAATCCCCAGAGTGAGAGCGGAAGGGCAGTGTCAGTGTCCACTGCTGCTGCTGCTCCTGACAGAGCACTCAGAAGAGAATGCGAGCTCCGGGAAGGCCGCAGGTGATGTGGCCAGAAGGACAAGCAGGCACCACAAAGAGCACTTTCAGAAAGAGAAGAAATACTTGCTTTCTTAATCCAATGTTACCTGTCTGCCATTGCCAGGATTCGTAACCTTTACAGAGTGTATGACCAGTATGGTAACCTTGGGAAAATGTTGGTAACCCTCAGTCATTTCCTGCAGTGCTCATATATCAAAGTATATTTCCATTATATGGAAGGATCACGTTGCTCATGTGTTGGGAACGCTCACACTCAGGGTAAGCTAGTGAAGTAGGACAGGCTGGCGCTCCCATGCTGCAGAGGCAGCGATTCCATCCATTTTCGTGGGAGTTAGGCATCCTCTGAGGCCTGGAGGACACGGGCTGTTGGAAGAGCTGTAAGGCACCTGCTTTCCTAAGAAACACTTTACTGTCTGCTCGTGAGAATGACATGGGTGGATGCGGTGAATTCTGCACTGCAGAGTGTTTGAGAAACGGAGTTTGTCTTACCGACAGATGTTGGGAAGGGACTAATTCTGCTGGCGTTCATACTGCCTGCCTATGTAACCCGTTTGTTTATGAGTCCTTGTGTTACTTCCTCTAAGAGCTCTTCTTCTTGAATTTTAGGTTACGTTTAGCAAGAATGAATGAAGAAATGCGGGAATCGGAAGGACTTTATGGACAGCCAGGTCAATATTCTACCAATAATCATACAGAAATGCAGTATAAAAAATGCATTCAGGAATTTATCAGTTTACAATTGGAAGATTCATAGCTCCTTAGCTAACTAATGTGTTGTTATAGAGATTTTATAATGTACCTGTAAATTGTGAGTTGTTAGCGGCTGGACCTACCGAATTCTCGGGTGGCTGATCCCGGACCTTTACACACTCGGACGTGTTTCTGTTTCAGTACACTTCACTTACTGTATTCAGTCAGCTCTGGCCGCTGGCATCCTTATCTGCTGTACAGATGTCTTCCACATGCGCTCCAGCAACACGCGTGACAATGGACTGTGTGCTGCAGAGGCGGCAGGAGAGCATTTCAGAAGGAATTCTTCCTCCATCCCCTTTTCTCTTCCTTTCTTCCCCCCCTTCTCCCTCCCTCTATCCCCCCCACTCTCTCTTTCTTTTTTCTTTCTTTCTTTCTTTCTTTCTTTCTTTCTATCTTTCTTTCTTTCTTTTTCTTTTCTTTTTCTTTTTTTTTGTAACAGGATTTCTCTGTATAGCCCTGGCTGTTCTGGAACTCGCTTTGTAGACCAGGCTGGCCTCAAACTCAGAGATCGATCCACCTGTCTCTGCCTCCCGAGTGCTAGAATTAAAGGCGTGTGCCACCACTGCCCAGCTTCAGAAAGAGTTCTTGTTAGCTGTCCAGCGAATATAACAAAATGGGGTTCTTTTTGTTATTCAGGGAATTTCTATACATTGTGTTCAGGGAAAATAAAACAAATTTATGTGTTTTGTATATAAAAAAGTTAGTGTGGAAAATATCAAGGAGAAGTTTATTGATGAGTTTTATATTTAATCTAAGAATGAGTTGAAGATTTAAAGTAAACCTTTACCAGTAAGTTAAAGTCCACAGTGGGTAGAGAATTAGTTTCGAGGCTGAAAAAGTTTATCTGTAGCTTCGCCCCAGGCAGTTGTACACTGCTTGCTGCGGTGAGTAGATGTATTTAGAGCAATGTTTTGTGAACCTGATGGCTAGGTAGACTTTCTAGAAAAACCTCAGTTCATGACCACTGCAGTCTTCATCTCGAGTGGTTTCCACCTGAGTCATGGTGTGAAGGGAAGAAAGAAAAGCTGATCAGATTCCCCTGTTTGATGGAAACGTGCTAGTTAGACAGCGCCACAAGGACATTGCATTCTACTTGGTGAATTTGAGTACATGAATTCTTATCTGTTTGAAATGCATACACATATTCCTAAACATTTCAGGAATTCATGACCAACGTACTTACAGACATTCACTTTTCAGTGAGAATATTTCATTTTATAAAAATGAATATTTATATTATCTTTAAAGTGGCCTGGTAAAATCCTCTCTCCTTCCTGTTGAACTGTATTTTGAATTTGTGTTAACGTCAGCCACTTACTTCATTTTGACTGCAGTCATCTCTATCAGTGTGAGGCCATTTTTTCCTCAGAGGACTGTATTTACCACTTATGTTTGGCCTGACGTACTAGGGAAGGAAAAGGCCCCGGGTCCTATGCAGACTTCTAGTCTAGGGCGGTTCACTCTAATCGTGCGGATCACTGCTGAGTCCGGATGTTCTGATGTCAGTGTACTTATTATGGGGGGGACTCAGCGCTAACTCTGGGTCTTGCCCATGTGTTTCAAAGTTGAATGTTAGATCTTGATTAAGTTCTAATTTTGTAACAGATATCTTTAAACGGTAGTATTACTAGGCCTTTTCTGAGGCCTTTGTGGTTAAGCACTTTAAATAAAAATCGATCAAAGAAAATGAGCTGGCATTTGTGAGGTAGCAGGGAACTGCAAGATTGTAAGCGAGGGGACATTTGTAGCCGTCCTGCCAGCCGCACCTTTCTTAAGGTGCTTGCTACAATGGCCGCCCAGCTGGTGAGCCACAGGTCAGAGGTCAGCGATCTATTTGCTCAGCAGATGGGAATTTGCAGGGGCAGGACCTTTCCTTTTTGCACCTCATCTAGTTCTGCCCAAGCTGCCTGGATTTCTTCTGTGTCATCCAGGAGTGCTCAGACGCCTCTTTCACTGGTGTCTGTGTGCAGGTTCATACGTAAATACAGGGACTTCCAGGTATCAATAGGAAAATCATTTTTTCTTAGTTTTAATAAAAATACAAAAACAGGCCTCACTCTAAGACTTAAAAAAATTGGCAAATTTTAATTTAGAAGTTAAAAATTAGAATTCTGCCAACCATGCCAGGTTAAAAAATAAGATGTAAAAACCTATTTGAGAAACATCTTGGAAATAATTTGATTTTGAACTCAGTATAAGGGTCCAGAGATTGAAGGTGAATGCTTCATTCGCGAGGTGTGGTGAGGTGGTGCAACAGCTGCTCTCTGCCGTTCCTCCTTTCCCCTCTGAGGCCTGGCAGAGCAGAACGTGCCGGCCTGGACAGCCACAGAGCAGACACGCACCCCCCACCCCACCCCCATCCCACCCCCACCCCACCCCCGCAGGCTGGCCCAACAGCCACTCCTCATTTTCTCTCTGCATCTTACTGTATTTTCTTTGCCTGACTCCTTTATCACTAGCAATAGGAGGGAAGCGGCAGAGCTCTGAGCAGTTCGGAGGTAGAGAAACTGTCAGTCTTTTGATAGTGACAGGTCCACTATTTAGAGGACTTGGTTAAAATGCTTGGCAATCAGGGGCTTCTAGGAAACCCCATTTCTAAACGTGTGTCTACAGTCCCACGGACACACTTTTTTTTGCAGGCAGTATTAAGAGCACACAGCTTCCGAAGGAAGGGGGTTCTTTTCGCAGCTTTTGAGAACTCTCAGGAGGCCTGGCAGGGCGCAGTAATGTGGTGGGAATTCATTTCTGTGCTTCCTGCCTCTGCTCTGGGTCTCTTGAGCGCTGGCAGGTTCTAAGCCAGCAGAGAATCGCTGCCTTAGGGAGCCACTCCCGTCATGTGAGCTGTGGCTTCTGGGACCTAGCCAGTCATTTGTGAAGGAAAGTGCTCCCAGCCAAAAGGGGCGGGTTGATGCCTGTGCTCCCAGAGAGTGGGTGTTACATCCTCTGAGAGCTTTCATTTCAGTAGTGAGGCCACCGAACCTTGCCTGTCACACTGACGGCTGTAGTGATGAGCGTTCCGAATGCCAAAAACCAAAGGGGTTTTAAACCGGCAGCGCAAACACAGCAGCCTGTATTTTAAAAGTTCAGAATTGTTCAGGCACACAAAAAACTCGAACTTTCTGAATGGGGAAAAATATGATTAAGTAATTTAAAGAATATGCTTAGCTGTTTTGTAGTAAGTTGTTCCGTGTATTAATAGGAAGATTCCAGGGCAATGTATTCTGGAATCTTGTTTATGTGTTCTAGTTAAAACAAATTAGATTTGCCTCGGGGAAATATTCAAGTGATTAAAATTCTCCTTAAAGTTTAGATAATGAAGCTCACTTTGTGTCGACTGTTTTAAGTAAATCACTGTTGTTGTTTTGGACAGCACATTTTGAGGTCTAAGGAAGGTAGCGTATTAATAGTGCATTATTCATTTAAAAAACTGATCTTACGAGTTTTGTGTATGAAGCTAGAAACTTCCTTTTGTATTGTGTGGACTCTTAGCCGTTTGCAGTCAGTGAGACCAATGATTACTACAGCACCACACTCTCCTTCCAGGACACGTTGAATTCCATGAATGGAAGGTCTTATAATTAGTTTTGCATGGTACAATGGTTTTACTAAAACTGTACTTGTGTAATATGTGCTAGGTGACTTAAAAATCAAACACTAGAAAACCGTAAAGAAAAGCAGCTCGCTATACACAGAATATGCACCGCTGAATGTAGAAGCCATACATCGCCATTGTACCGCTGTAACACTTGAGAGCACTCACCTGGTGCTATCTGTGAACGGCTTGGCGTCAGCGTCTGCTAGACGTCAGCGTCTGCTAGACCCGCCTCCCGTTTCTTCCTGGATATATAATGTGTGCCTTTTACGTTCCTTCTGGTGTCGAATGGTAAAATCAATGTGGTATTTTTGTATTATAATCTGCACTTTACACTTTCTTGAAAAGTAAAATCCTAGACTATCTGAATAGTATTTTAAAAATATTTATAATGTTTACAATAAATATTTTACATATTTTACTTCAACATCTAAAAAGAGAAAAAAATTAAAGTATTTTGTATGGTTTGTTAATTGTTATTTAATGTTGCGCTCCTGAGTTTATTTCGTGTCCTGTAGGATGGCCAAGCACAAGAGTAGGTCGTAGTTTGTCGTGCTCTAATTGGACGGTCTGGCCAGTTCCAGCGGACTGGCCTTTAGTGTGCTCCGGTCGAGTGTCGGGAGTCAGCTCTCACCTCCAGCCAGCCCGTTAACACTCTCTTCTCACTGTATTTTCCCGTTTTAAAGTAGATTAGTTAGGGTTAACTGATTTCTGTCATGGTTCAATTTCCCAGATTTTAATAAATTGCTTTTTACATAGACTGAATATTTAAAGTACTACATATTAAGATATTAAAGCCTTTTTATTAAAATTCTTACGTTATGATTTTAGGTCTTTTAAATAGATTTTTACCTGGCCCCCTCAGTATTTTTCTAATTCTCTAGCCTTTGGTATGACATCTCTGTGCTTTATAATAATCTCGCTTTGTAAGACTTCGAGAGCTTACTGTGCTGTTAACAAGATCTGTGATAATGAGATTGTTGTAAGATGGGATGCAGGTTATCTCAGAGGATCTAATGATTGACCCCTGTAATGACGAGAGTCTTATAAAACAGTACCCTATGCTCAAGCGAGAGTAGAATTGCGCCAGGAGTCTGTGCCAATGCAGTGTTCGGCTGGACGTGTCATGATAAGCAAGCCGTCCTGGAAATAAGATTTCTCCCCTCGAGGGATTAATTTATACGTGTGCATATGGTTCCTTGGTGAGAAGAATTGTTCCCCGCTTGCCGTACGTCCTCAGCTCTAATTTTACATTTCTGTAAGAGTGCTGAGGGTCCACACGTTTGTTCCTCCGACTGTGAGTAGATTCTTGGCTATCCTTTCCGATTGCATAGCAGTCCCGCTCGTGAGTCACCAGACAGTGTGGAGCTCTGGTTTTGCAGTCACGCTCTGGCCTTGTGATTAGTGAATTTACCGGGCAGTGGGTCAGACGCGTTAGTTCTCAGCCTCAGAGGGTATGCGAGCTCCCTTTCACCAACAGCTGTTTCAGCATAAAGCGCTTCGAGCTGAAGATGGTGCAGGAAGCTCTTCGTAGCTGTTGCCCAGCTTGTCTCCTTGGTAACCTGCATCCATCAGAACCTTGACTAGTATTTGGCTTTAGTCATTTCCTTTAACTTTTATTCAGCAAAGTATTTTCTTATAAAATGTGCTATGTACTTCATCTCATAACCTCTCTTCTTTCGTGTGCTAACGAATGTTTCTTCACATTGCTTTCAAACGCTTGCATCTTGCTCCTCTCTAACTCTGAGCTCCCCTGCCACACATCTGAGATGCTTCTCTCAGGTACAGCTTCCCTTTCTTTCGTACTTTTCTGATGTTATTTTTAGTTGGCTTTTTTCCTTCCAAAAATGCTCTTGGAACAAAACTTGAATGTAATGAGCCCTAAAATAGTACGAGTAAAAGCATATGTTGTTCTATTAACGCCTTAGCTGTATACATTTTAAAAGTGTCTTTGTTTTACTTTCATGCAGGTGATGAAACTTACCAGGACATTTTTCGTGATTTTTCTCAAATGGCATCCAATAATCCAGAGAAACTCAATCGTTTCCAGCAAGATTCACAGAAGTTCTGAGCCTTTTAAAGAGGGGAAACTATGAAATTTGGTGAATTACTAATGTGTACAACCAAAATCTTACACCTTTTTTTAACTGCTTTAATTCTACTTGATTTTAGTAGACATTGAATTGTTTGGAGAAAAATGGTACCCATTCATTGGTATTTTTGTAAATGAAAACAGATCTCTCATGGTTGGGAAAGGGAGAAATCCACTATAATTCCTCTTTTATTTAAGAAGAAAAAGACTGTTTAACGGGTGTGCTTTTATATAAAGTTGTATCCAGATATAAGCGATCTCCTAAGTTCCGAGATGCTTACACTGTTGGGCCCGTGTACCTTTGCCTTGGGTAGTGCCCTGCTTCTCCCCAGGAACACTCAGTCACTATGTCTGCACCAAGTGGGAGCCAGTTTGCTTACCTGTATCGAGGATGTATCTTTTCTACAGCTTCGCTGATAATTGTTGGTGGTTTAGAAATATGTACGTGTGTTTCCTGGTAGCTTAGCTGTGGTACTCACGGTATATGATGTCATTGCTAGGACTAGTGAGGATGCCCCTCCTTTGCTCAGAGATGCCATTGCATGTCAGGACTTTAGCAAACATGGTGACTGTCCAGTAGACCACGCTTTAGTCTTTAGACTTATTTCATCTTGTGGTGCAAAGGAGCTCATTCCGTTTTCTTCCTTCAGTCACCGCAAGACTCCCAGCTCAGTTTTTATTGTTGGGTTGATTTCCTAAAACCTTGAAAAGATCATCAGTGCAATAAAACTGTATTTCAGAAGTTGACTATTGCAAAATTGGGCTTTCACCAAAACACGGTGATTTCAAAGATAATGTAGGTCATTTTATATTTGGAATTTATCCATTTTAAGCTATATATATGTATATTTACTATTACTCCTGGTGAAAGAAAAATCTCCATGTAAAAGAAGAAAAAGCTAATTTTTTTTCTGTTTATACTAAAATTTACCAGCAATAAATTCCTTTTATTTTTTCTACATTTATCTTGTTTACTATACAACAGTATACATTCTTTTAAATTGTATCCTGTATATAGCTTTAGAATTAAGTAAAATATGTCATTGACCTTTGAGTTCCAAAATTACGAGTATGTGATACAGTTTGGTCAGATTCCACCTCTGATTGACACGTCTTGTCAAAGTATGGAATGAATAAATAATTGCCTTGTGGTTCATTTCCAGCACTGTTGATGACATTTAATCTTTTAGAGATTGTATGTAAGTAGCATTGATACTCAGCTTCACAGAAACATTTTTAAATGTGTATATATATATATATATAATTATAGTCAATTAAATAAAAAAATTACCATTTCCCCCACAGTATGTAGAGCCTTACTTTGATTAAATATGAAATCTGAATCTAAGCAGAAATCATACTGCGATAAATTCTCAACACAGATATGGTCCCCTGGCTCAGCCGAATTGCAAGCTTATAGTGCTTATTTCATAAGTCCCCACACGTTAGAGATCTGCTGTGATTTTTATTTCTATTTGATTTCTATTTGAGGAAGCACAGACTTCCACAGGATGGAAGGAATCTGGCCTTGTCGGTATTTTGTTAAAGGCAAAAGTCTAATTTTAATTGGTGTGTGTTTTGAAATTTATTGTCCTAACACATATTCAAGGAAGAGCAGGCTAAAGAAAGAACCAGAGGGAAGAAGCCCACCTCTTCTCCTCAGTGCCCGTTCTCGGTCACTGTGGAGCTCCTGCCTCGTCTGTGGAGGTGCGGATGGGCTTCCCTTTCAGCTGCTGGGGACAGTCCTCTGGACCTGTCTGCCTCCCTCCCTGATGTGTGTCAGAAGTCCTTGGTGTGACAGTCAGTAGTGTCTGCTGCCCTTTAATGGCTAGAGTGTTTTTGAAATAAGCCTTAAAGATTCAGGTGTGTGTGAAATGCCTTGAAGATCATCGTGGTTCTGAGTATCTTCAGAACAAGCTTCATCTTTTTTGATCGCATGGAGCCTGGCAATGCAAGAACATGTTTTTATGGCTCACTTAGTTTTCTCAACGTGCTGAGAAATTGAATGACGGAAAGGGAATGGAGTCTAGCAAGGCTTTAAATTTCTATCATGAAGTAGATCGGCTCTTAGATGAGTTTTGCTGTGTTCACCAATAGCTTTATGTGGCGTGTTGTGCAGTATTCCATACAGTAGGAGAGATGAATATCCACAATGCCAGGCACACACTCAGGCCGCTCTTTCCGATTGCTCTGTGTTCTCTGCAGGACAGACATGCTGAGAAAAATTTGATGATTTTTTTTTTTTTTTTTTTTTTTTTTTGGTTTTTCGAGACAGGGTTTCTCTGTAGCTTTGGTTCCTGTCCTGGAACTAGCTCTTGTAGACCAGGCTGGCCTCGAACTCCCAGAGATCCGCCTGCCTCTGCCTCCCGAGTGCTGGGATTAAAGGTGCGCGCAACTACAAGTTTGATTCTTTATTAGCCTGTTCACTCTTTTTTATGCTCTCATTAATGGAAACAATTGGATTACTGCCAAAATAAGAACAGAGGCACAATGAAGGATGCACAAAATGTGGCTTTAACACGGGCACGGATAAAGGTGATCGAGTAGCCATTCCCCAGGCTTCACTGAGACACTTACTCATTTAACATTTCCAAGATTTTAAGTTCATCTTCAGTACAGTCCTTGGAAATGAAAAGCTTCCAGCATTACAGGGTGCCTGACTGACTGATGCCGGTGTCTGCCGTGGTGCCGCAAACTTTGGTGTTTGCTTCCCCCAAAGTAATCCAGCGGGCAGCTTGTGTTTTAGCACCTCACAGGTGCATTCTGGGGGGAAAATTATATGCTTATATTTTAGAGAATTTATGTTTGTGATCATGTTGGCAGTGTTTAAAAGTACATTTTTCTGCATATTAGATATGATCATGAACCAAGTTGTTTTATTTAAACCTAAACTTGCTACCCACTCTGAATAATTGGACATTCCTAGACCACTCATTCTCAGGTCAACTTTCTGTGTTGCTGCATTTTTTTAAAAAATGAAATCTTATGTTCATCATAACTTTAGTTCACATCCTTCTTGGATCCAGGGCTCCTCACAAATAAAGCGAATGGCTGAAACAAAGGGAACTTCTAAAGCCTCCCTTTGTGTACCTGTCCCCGGAGGCTTGCAGGAGGACACCTGCAGTCTTAGCCCACAAGCAGCAGCCTGGCCCCGGGCTTCATCCCAGCCCCCTCTTGTTTTACAGAGCTGACCCATAGTCTAGCTCTGACATAAGCTCCTAAAGCACGTGTGTCCTGGGAGGATTGGCATCACTGTCAAGTAGCAGCTTTCCCTGAGTTTGAAAAGAGGCTCCAGAAACACGGGAGAACCTCGTCACGTTTAAAGGACTAGATTGGAATTTGAAAGCATCAAATTGTAAAAAAAAAAAAAAAAGTCTGCATTTTGTACAATAGCAAACATTAATAAAAAGCCAAATATTATAAAGTTAAACTCACCTTTTATTAACTTTTTGATGTCATAGCCATAGAAAGGACTTGGATTCAGTCTGGCTGAGTCCTGACACCCAGAAGGATGTTTTGTGGGCATCTTTTTCTGTTTACATAAATGGGGATCATGTGGACAAAGGAAGATTTAATTAACTAGAATTTTTCTTTGCATTGATCTTCTCACTATCTCATTTTCTAGGATTTTCTCATTCCCCAGCCCTATTTTGGGTATTAATTTTTAACAGGGAAAGCTTGCTGTGCTATCAAGTTGTTAGCACCTTTTCATATGAAAGGCTAAAGGGTAACTTTTGGAAATGACAAGCTCCTTTTTAAAAATATCTGTTTACGTGCTTTGTGATATTTCTGGATCATTCCGGTCATAAAGACTGATCACATGTACTATTTCTTGCTGCCTATGAAAAGGATTTTAAGAATGTATAACCAACACTCCATTAGTTTTTATTAGTGTGTAGATTTGTATCTAATTCATGAATGTAGTTTTTCTGTAGTTTGTCATTGTAAATGGAGCAAAGTACATTATCTTTATAGTTATTCTAAAATGTACATTATGTAAGAATTGTAAATATACTTCATTACTTTGTATGCTGAAAATTTACAATAATAAGTCAATAAAAATATCTCACTTCTGGCGCAGTCACTGTGGTGCTCAGATTTCTTTTGAACTGTGTGGTGGCTGCCTAACATCTGTTCTAGTTAAAGTCCAGCCTGACTCTCCGACCCTTCCAAGGAATGGCAATTCATGTTGATCCTGTTTACCGATTACTTCCATTCAGAAAAACATTTGGATCCTTTAAATATTTTCTTCTTGCCAATTTCAGAGATGCTGTAGCCCTTGCTTCATGAACTAAAGACCACGAGAGACATTCTTGACTCTTCTGCTTCTCCCCATTATGGTTGATATGTTTGTTGGCATTCCTGATCTTGGCAGCACACCTGTAGCCCATCCTTTCATTAAAACAAAACCCCGCTCCCATGTGAATGGATCCGAGGGAAAGGTGTAGTAATAGGGGGCGCGGCGGGGCTGCCTCCCCGGCACCCCGTCCGCCTGCTCGGCTAGCTTATGCCCCAAAATAATTACACGGAAACTGTATTCTTTTAATCACTGCTTGGCCCATTCTCTTCTAGGCTAATTCTCACATATTAATTTAGCCCATTTCTAATCATCTGTGTGTAGCACCCCAAGGTGCGCTTACCGGAAAGATTCTAGCCTATGTCCATCCTGGGTCTGAGCTTCATCCCGGGAGCAGGGCATGGCGTCTCTCTCAGGCGTCTGCTCCAGAGAGGAGAGCTGTCGAGACTGAGCTCACTTCCTCTTCCTCCTAGTGTTCTGTTCTGTTTACTCCTCCCACCTATCCTCTAACCAATAAAATGGGCCAAGGCAGTTCCTTTATTAGCCAATGACCTTCCTCCATCATTTCCCCTTTTTCGGTTTAAACAAAAAAAAAAAAGGCTTTAACTTTAACATAGCAAAATTACATATAACAAAACAGTTATCAAGTAAAAGTTACAATAATCTTTATCATAACTAAGGAAAACTATAACTAACTATTCTTAACTCCATCAAAGACTCCAGAAAGATACAATACTACATAAGCAAACAAGAAAAAAGCAACTTTTAAAACTCTAGAAATGACAGAGACATCTTGCTGCCTGGACAGTCACCCAAAGTTCCTCTGTACCGTTGGGGCATCCATCTTCAGCCTTCAGGCCCATGCTATCCAGCAGACATTTCCATAAAGCAGGAAAATTCAAAGTCAGTTCAGTCACTATCTGTTGTGTCCTGCAGAATGTCTCGCAGACTCTTTCATGAATCAGGAACCCCAAAAGATCATCTCACCTTAGGCAAGTTCAGTAGTCCTCTCTCTGCGGGTTCTCTGTGTCCAGTTTATGCAATAGTCCAGGCAAGAGCAGTTTCTTGCCCAAATGGCTATCAAACTCCAAAAGGTGCCTCTTCGATGCCCATCTTCCTCTTGAAGTAGATTGGTGCTGCCAGGAGCAGAGTGTCTCATTGTCATGAAAAGTCCTCAGTTATTAAAACATTAAATGTCCTATTCTGTAATCTTTGAAAGACATGAAGAATGTCTATCTAAAATATATCTCTATATATCTAAAAAAATCTAACATGACTACAAGCTTTACTATTATCGATGATTATCCATTAACAACCTATATTTCTTAATTATACAGTACATATTTAAATGAACTACACAGTCACAATACCTTAATCAAAATCAGAAACACTTATACATATAACAAAATTGACCTTAAATCTCTATCAATAAAGCAAAATCTATACTAATGCAAATTATTCATACCTATATCATATCCCCCTTTAAATGTAAAAGAACGTTTATAAACCATATTTGGGAACATGGGCACAGTTTTTTTCTCTCCAAACTGCTTCCTGCTGAATGGGGGCGTCGTTAATTAGGTCTTTCATGGTATAACCTGTGTGCTAGTTTCATCTCAGTTGGCAGTTGAGCAAAGCAATTTTTTGAAGGCGTGCACTGGAACCATTCAGGAGGACGTGGTCCATCATACCAAATCGGAATAGAAGAAATGAACAGCGTCTCATCCTCTGTGAAAACAAAATAAGAAACTCCTTTCCAAAGTATCATATCCTTAGATCCAAATTCAAAATATCTATGTTGGATTAGTTCAGCAGTATTTATAAATAAATATCTTTTAGCAGCTGTTGCTCCTTCCTCAGCATTCAAATAATTCAAAGAGAGCATAATAGCATACAGTATCAAGATTCTCTGTGTATTTTCTATCTTTGTACAGCTTTGTTTTAACCTCTATTTCATTTATTTTTACTTTTAACTTTTTGCTTTTTGATACAGGTTCTCTGTATC